CACAGTAACTCTAAGATGTGGGTAGGTACTGTTATTATCTCCATTTTAAACACGAGGAAACTATGGTACATAGAGGTTAAGTAGCATGTCCAAGATCAGGCAGTAAAATAGCACAGCCCAGATCTGAATCCAGGCATTTTGGTTGCAGAACCTGTGCTCTTTAAATAACACTATTTGGTCTTTATAAATTCTATTTTACCTGACATAACCAAATAATAAAAGCTTCTAACCTAGGCCTTGGAACCATGTGTATGAAGAAGTATCCTCCCCACAAACCAAAGAAAAATGTTATGTTTTATATTTTTACTACTCTCGAAAGAAACATATAAACTATGGATATGTAAAGTGCAATGAGTTCATTCAGAGTTTAGGACAAGTAATAGCATTTTATGTGTACTTCTATTATGAAACTTATTTATCACATCATAGCAGTTAGATATTTAGATATCTGTGATATGGTGTATTAATAATCTCATGCTATTCAGTTTTACAACCTAATCAATCTTTGGGAAATATCATACTCTAAAAATGAAAGAATAATTTGTAGTGAGTAATAATGCCCAAAAATCCTTCTTGGGAAGACAAACGATTGTACTTTGTTGACTGTATTCATCAAGCCTAGTCTATGCCGACGTCCAGAAAATTAGCCCCACCTACTGGATCATGGGAGTACTACAAATTCAGGCCTTCGAGAACAGTGAACTGTCAGAGAAGTGTATACTATTCTGACTAACAAAAACTAAGAAATGAAATCTTAGAAAATGAAGAAATTTATACTAACTAGCATTGGTGACGGAGCACTTTCACATACTGCTGTTGGTTGTACAAAATGGTACAACCTTTTCTGGAAAGAAATTTGTAAAAACAATAAAAATTGTAAGCATTCTTTACAAAATTTCACTTCTTGAAATTTATCTTATAGAAATATACAAGGTAACAACTGTGTGTGACAAGGTTATTTACTGCAGCGTTGTGCTTAGCAGTGAAAAATTAATGTTAATGTAGATACAGCAAATACTATTTAACAGCAATAACAACGATGACGTGAGCTAACAGTTCCTGTGAGTGCTTAAAACGTGCTGGGCCTCATTCTCAGTCTGGCTTGAAAGCCCTGACATTGACTAGCATGCTCTGCATCTTAGAATGAAGCACACATCCTCCTATGGAAGGACGTACGTTCTATACAGCCAAATGAAAAGACTCAAGCTCAGAGAACTACACAGCATTATTCCATTTTTAAAAACACATGCTTGTAGATGTATAGAAAAAAAGTCTAAAAGACTATAAACATCAAACTGTAAATAATGATTACCTCGGAAGACCAGGATGAGCATGAAGACACAGCAGATGACTTTTTACTTTACACACTTTTATATTCCTTGAATTTTTCACACTAAGTAAACACTAGATTTGTATAGGAAGCACACAGTTTTTAAAAATAAGTTAATTGGAGTCCTTAGAATAACTTTAACTAGTTTAAGCAAAATTTTTAAAAAGCTTTAAGGGGTAACCTCCTACGTGCTGAGGCTAACTGCACATGAGAATGGTCATTTGAAGCAAAACACACACACAAACCCGGAAAAGGCAGTACATTCAAGGTAATGAACACTCCCTAGAAATTCTGGGCAAGTGAAGTCTATAACTGCTAATTTCTTGATGAAGACAGCAGGTCAGATATGCACATCAAATTCCAATCCTCCCCCAAACTCCACTAAAACTATAGTAAAAAGAACTTGTAAAGGTAAAACTCTGAGGAATGAGGAAACCAGAAAAGGAAACAATAGCAATACAATTTTGGAAGCTGGATGCAGATGGACAAGTGGTAACTAATTCAGCGGACCTGAGAAAGCCTAAACCTCAGCTAGCATTAGGTAAAGCGGAGAACCAACTCAATTCCAAAAGGCTCAGGAATTTCGCATAGAAGACTGTTCACTTACCTTGTGCTCCTACTTTACGGGAGGCTTGTCATGTCCTAAAAAAGTAACACTGTTCTTTTCAGAATTTGACGTAAGATAGTGAAGAGTGAAGCAAGGGCCTGATTTGAATTAAGTGGATCAAGAAACACTCTGAAGGACCTTCAATAGGAGATACATAAAGTATTTTTGTGGCGAGAATAAAAAATTTCTTGGTCAACAACTACCTTATCAAAAACAAATTACTCAGTTACATGTTAGAGGCAAACACTGAGGTAAAAGGATGCTTTTTGAAAATGATATCCTGTGTTGAATGAGAATATAGGCTACTATTACCTATTTTTTTATTGTATTCCTTACCCAGAGCAACAATGATTTTTCCACCACTTTCCATTTCTCATGCAGAAGTAGCATTTTAAAAAGCAATAATTTAAGCACATATTTCATATTTGGCACTTCAGCTAAGAAAGGAGAAATCAGGGCGAATTTAGGAGAATTCAGGCTTTCCCAAAAAGTAGTATGGCATCTGTCAATAACGCTCTGTTTTTATAGTGATACAGTTTGTAGCCAAATTCTGACAGTCTAAACAACTTTCAATAGAGCTATTTCTCATTGCTTCTAGTTATCAAAAATAATAATAACAATTCCTTTTCTGCTAACATATAGAACAGTATACATATTTAAACCTAAATATTTTTAGAACCCATATAACAAAATTACCTGATTCACCAATAAAGTAAAACTACTATATGGGTGAAGTCTAGCAAATACTTAACATGATAGAATTAAATCCCCCAGCAGTTTAAAAAAAGTAATGATATCCTATTATAATGAACATTTTCCGTTATGAGATTGTCTTATGTTTTAAAATCACTTATGAAGTCTAAGTAAAGATTTGAAAGCAAAGAAGCCCATGGAGAATTGGTCAAAAATCTAAGTGTATTATGAGGATTTTTTTCTGCCTTACTCCAGATTGTCACAGAAACTGATAACCAGCATCTAGGAACAATGAAGATTCCCATAGAGTAGTCAGATAACTGTTAACTGATTTTATTTAGTTAACCTTGAGACACAATTACTCAAGGTAACTTTTGGCGGATTATAACTTTGAGGACTTATCAAAATGAATATGATGCACTTGAGGAAGTCATTGGATTACAGGACCGTCATTAATACCTAGCAGAGAACACAACTGTACCTAACCCAGTATCTAAGGATGCCTTTGAATTTAGAATAAACTATGCAAACCTTTTTAAAGTTTATTTGAAGACTGAAAAATTGGAGCAACTAGTACTAACAAAGTCAGACATACATAAACATCATTTATGGTTTATATCCTATCTTAACCAGAACCCCTACAAGGCAAAGGCGGCCGAGTTGTCAAGACATGGAAGCAATCCAAGTGCTCACTGACCAATGATTGGATAAAGAAGATGTGGTATACATATACAATGGAATACTACCACTCAGCCATAAAAAAAAGACAAAACCATCCCATGTGCAACAACATGGACGGACCTGGAGGGTATTATGTTAAGCGAAATAAGCCAGACAGAAAAAGACAAACACCATATGACTTTACTCATATGTGGAAGATAAACAAACACAGGGACAAAGAGAACAGTTCAGTGGTTACCAGAGGAAGAGGGGTTGGTGGTGAGCACAGGGAGCAAAGGGGAGCACTTAAATTGGGACAGATAAGAAACAATGTACAACTGAAATATCACAATGATGTAAACTATTATGAACTCAATAATAAAAATAAAAGGGTGGCCTTGTTGGATTATACACAGGTGCCATATATGGAAGAAGTCAGGTAGCATCTAAGAAATCAATAAAATGGGCCAGAAATGAAGCTGGGGGCAGAGACAAGTATGAACCAGAAAGTCAAAATAACTTAATTATCCTCCATACCTTAGGGAGTGAATTATCCACAATCTTGAGTCAAGGAACTGCTGAGAATGCAGATGTACATAAGAACCCACCACTTTACTGGAAATCATGAATCCAAGGCAGGAATCCTCTGGAAAGTACTAAAACCTTTGCTAACCAATCAACTTCTCTCTGGAGAAGAGTGCATATGTACATCCTAAGAATTACGAGGACCTGAAGAAGTGACCAGAGCACAACTTTCACCTTTAGTTCATTCTATAGATCCTTCTCTGCTAAAATATAGGACTGTTTAGTTCATTCCACAAACATTTATTGAGTGTTTATTTTACCAGACGTTTGTGTTGATGAAAGAGGTTACCAAAGTAAGTAAGACAGTCCCTGTCCTTGAGGACGTCTAGCCTAAGGGGAAAGACGAACATCTCATAGACAGTGTAACATAATGTGGCGAATGCAGTGATACGTTTATGCACAGTGTGCTCTGGTAATGGGGGGGGGGGGTGTCACTCACTTAGCCCAGCCCAGAAATAGGTCAGGGACGGAAGTTATGTTTAACATGCTGGACGAAATGATACCTGAGCTAGATCTTAAAAAAGGAGAAATTAGTAAGGTATTTAACAGTGAAAAGATCATTCAAAACAAGGAAACAAATAGTAGGAGGAAAGGACTGAGCATGAAATAGTTTGATGTATGGTAAAGAGGGTGAGGTGTGGGGTACCACAAGTAGATTACTATTATAAGAATGTAAGGATAGAGATGATGAAGGTGAGAGAGGAGGCTGACAACGTATAGGCCATATTACAGAGGGACTACAATGCTATGAAAAGAATCTTTTTTTGTTTAAAGATTTTATTTTTCCTTTTTCTCCCAAAGCCCCCCAGTACATAGTTGTGTATTTTTAGTTGTGGGTCCTTCTAGTTGTGGCAAGTGGGACGCCGCCCCAGCATGGCCTGATGAGTGGTGCTACGACCACGCCCAGGATCCGAACCAGTGAAACCCTGGGCCACCACAGCAGAGCATGCAAACCTAACCACTCAGCCATGGGGCTGGCCCCCATGCAAAGAATCTTGAACTTTATCTTGTAGGTTATGGGGAACCACTGTTAAGTAGGAGAATGACACAGAATCCCATTGTACATAAATTACTCTGGTAACACTGTGACGGGTGAAGCTGAGAAGGGGCTAGACTGGAGGTGGGGAGACCAGTTAGGAGGCTACTGCAAAGTTCAGGCAAGAAATAACGAGGTCCTGAACTAACAAGTAACCTTCTAACAAGTAACCTTCTAACAAAACCCCTGTGCTGCTGTACCAATAATTCAGGATGATCACAGTGTAGCAGAACAAGAAACTAAGGCACTGACATATGCGGACGTACATTTATACATAATATTTATATATCACATTTTTATATATACTCATATATAAATCCTTTTTGCTACTATTACATTATATTATAGATTATCTTTTTCTACATTACTAAGAAAGAACAAAGAAAGTTAGAAAACAAGGAGAATAGAAGCTAAAATTCAAAGCATTCTATTTATCTTGGAACTAGCAATTAATAATAAATTGTGACCCTCAAATGAGTTATTTTACTGCAAAAACAAGTTGACTGTTGCTAGCAATTTAAATTTAGGAAGGGGAAAATTATTTAGAATGTATCATATAAAGCATTTAAAATCAAGAATGTTATCAGATTTCTCAGAATAATTTAAGGTATTATAAAGAAAATCTAGACTACCAGATCTACATAAGTCAAAAGTAATAAAATAATTCAATAAAGAAAATAACTTGACCTTAGTCTTAACGATTTCTGATGAGCCTATCTTGCCATGTATACCATTTAATATTCATAAACCTTAGTGAGGGAGGACCATTATATTCATTTTGCAGACAAGAAAACAAAGCTCAAGTAAGTTTACTTACCTAGTAACTGGGACTTAAAGTTTGCCCGCCTTTAGATGCCTTATTTAAAGCCATTAGCAGTCATATGCAAAAATGACTATGTAAGCATTTCATAAGAATATTTTTATTTCATGAATGCAGTATGTCATATCAGAAAGCCAAGATTAGGCCAAGGCAATAGAACTAAGACTCTAAGGTCAAAGAGAACTTGGTTTAAATCTAGACTTTACCCTTTACTAGCTGTGGGAATCTGAGTAACTTCTCTGAGTTTCAAGTATAAAAGGGGTTCAGGTTTCAAAGGGTTCTTGCAAAGATCACCAAGTGCCCAGTCCGGGTAAATAATCAATCAATAGTCGCTAATGTTATTACTCCTAAATCAAGAAAAAGTATAAATAAAACTAAACTGCATTTAAAATTGAGGTAAAAAAATTAATTTAGGAATAGAATACCCTTTCCCTGCTATGAAGGTTTCGTTAGTCATACTAGGGATACAGGTATATGCACACTGTTTACAATACCATACCTAACTCAAGAATATACAGTCAATTCTCGATAATCCAGAACACATTAACTGGTTGGAGTTAATCTGTGACTAGAGTGCCAGGAGGAACCTTTCTCTCCCTTAGTAGAGAAGCTGGGTAAGGAAACTATAACACCCAACCTCCTCCCCCATCCACACACACACTCCAGCTCCTGAAACCCCACCACAGCATTTCCACTTGTTCAGCCCCTAGGCTCCCCCAAGCCTTCTGGTCCCTGCTTTGATCTTCAAGTCTCACTGTTGGGGAAAGTTGGGAGAAGATCAGAATAATCAGTTCTTGCTATCTCATTACTAGGCCCCCGAGGGAATTAATTCTTTCTGGGTTATTTGTGATATTTGTGACTTGATCCTCGCTACGTCCCAACTCTACAAGTTATCCTATTTAACTCATAGTTGACCATGCTGAGGAAGTACAACCTAGAAACCTGTAACAATTTTAAACCATTTTACTTCATTTTTTTAAAAACCTGCTTTGCAAAACAAATTTTTATCAGTTTATAACCATTTTAAGTTATTTCAAGTTTTTATAGTTGGCTAAATAATGTAATATTAATTATAATATTTAGTATTATAGCAGTTTAGTATTTCAGTAAAGTTAGTGATATCATAAAGAATTAAATAATAAATTCCAGGTAAACAGTCCCCGAGGCTCAAGTTAACACTGTATTTATACTACTAAGTATCTGTTACTATGCATTGTAAAAATATCAGAAAAATTACCTTGGTGTTCTTCTAAATCCATGTCAAGTTGTCTAATTTCTTCATTAAATTGATTTATTTTTTCTCTTATATCTGTTAACCTGTTGAAAATATAATTTAATGAATTTATGACAGATAACTTAGATATTCAGTAAAAACAATTAATAATGCTATTAGGAAATCTTAAATCTTTTCTAAGCTGTATAAACAAAATGTAGAAATAATATGCCCTATTCTGAGGACAATAATACCAATTTAGAAGGAAAAATCTTTTCTAGATCTTCTTTCATGATTCTTATTTGGAGTATAAGTATACCCTGAGAATGTTAGGATACCTGACTTCAACAAGAGACCCTCCCCCAACCTTCTTTTGAACTTGACTTGCAATATTAAGAAAGTGAAAAATCTTTAGCAACTTTATTTCTGTAGGTTTATATAAACTTAACTAAGTTGGCAAATTAGTCTCAAAAATTAGAAAATAAGAGAAAATTCCATTGACAAAAGATTATATGGGTTAAAATTTTAACAAAAAGCAGTTGAACTTATTACAAAGCTACAGTAATCAAGACAGTGTGCTAGTAGAATAAGGATAGACATATATAGCAATGGAATAGAACTGTGAGTCCAGAAATAAGACCCCGTATCTACATACAACTGATTTTTGAGAAAGGTGCCAAGACAATAAAATAGGGAAAGAACATGAAATAACACTTGTTGAAAGAATATTTCAACAAATGGTGCTACAACAACCGGAAATATACACATACATATACAAAAGTTAACTCAAATTGGATCACAGATCTAAATGTAAGAGCTAAACTATAAAACTCTTAGAATGAAATATAGGCATAAATCTTCGTGACCTTGCATAGGCATTGGTTTCTTAGATATGACATCAAAAGCATAAGAAACAAAAGAAAAAATACATAAGCTGGACATCATCAAAATTTAAAACCTTTGTGCTTCATAGGAACCATCAACAAAGTGAAAAGACAACCCATAGAATAGGAGAAAAATTTTGCAAATTATTTATCTGATAAGAGACTTGTATCTAGAATGCATAAAATTCAAAAATAAAAGATAAGTAACCCAATTAAAAAGTGGGCAAAGGAGCTGAACAGACATTTCTCCAAAAGATATACATATGGCCAATAAGCACAGGTAAAGAAGTTGAGCATCATTAACCATTAGGGAAATGCAAATCAGAACCATATTGAGATACCACTTCACACCCATTAGGATGGCTACAATCAAAAAAGACAGACAACAACAAATGTTGGTGAGGACATGGAGAAATTAGAACCCTTATCCACTGGTGATGGAAATGTAAAATGGTGCAGCTGCTTTGGAAAATAGCCTGGCGGTTCCTCAAAAAGTAAATGTAGAGTTAAATATATGAGCCAGCAATTCTACTCCGAGGTATATACCCAAGAGAAGTGAAAACACATGTCCACATAAAAACTTGTACATGACTGTTCATACTAGCATGATCCATCATAGCCAAAAAAACGAAAACAATCCAAATGTCCATCAACTGATGAACTGATAAATAAATATGGCATATTCACACAATGGAATATTATTTGGCAATAAAAAGAAATTAAATACTGATCCATGCTACAACACAAATGAACCTTAAAAACATTATGCTAAGTGAAAGAATTCAAACACATAGGACCCATAGTATATGCTTCCATTTATATGAAATGTCCAGAACAGGCCAATCTACAGAGACATAAAGTAGAGTGGTTACCTAGGAATGGGCTGGGTGGGGGCGGGGAGGGGTGAGGATGAGAGGGGTGATGGTTAAGAAGTATGGGGTCTTATTAGGGTGACTGAACTATTCTAAAACTGACTGAGGTGATGGACTGAGGTGATGGTTGCATGACAATACACTAAAAACTTCTGAATTTCACACTTTAAATATGTGAATTGTATGGTATGTATTATCTCTTAATAAAGCTGTTTTTGAAAAGTAATTATATTATGTCATGGCTCCTAACTAAACTTTCAAAGAATATTTAAAGCTGCATCAATATTATCAGTGTGAACCAGAGAAAAAACGACTGTAACGTGCACCTCTTGTACACTTAGAATGTAATTTAAAAGATGAGAAATGGATGTAAACGTCCTAGTGTAAATGTACTTACTGTCGCTCCATGCTGGCTATTTCCTGATTATCTTCTTTAACCTATAAAGGCACAAAAAGAAAACAGTATTTCAAGAATGACTCATCGTAAGGCTATCTTACAGAGAATATCCTTCTAAGGTATGTTGTACTAAAATGTCAAATCTAGTCTCTTGAAACTTATTTCTTAAAATTCAACCTTTGAAGTTAACAGGAACATAACTAAGGAACTATTCACAGATCTTTTTCCCTCTTCCTCAAAGGAAGGGTGCTGACTGATATACCCATACCTATCCACATGGCACCATGAGGTTAACACCCCTTCAGGCCTGGATCAGTTTACATAAACATCTAGTATTTCTAAGACTGTCTCCTCCCCTAGCCCCGACACACACAAGGTTGGGTTGCCAGATTTAGCATTCCCTGTTACATCTGAATTTCAGAAAACAATGAATAACTTTTAGGATACGTATATACCATGTAATATTTGGAATATACTTATCCTTCTATATACACTTATTCTAAAAGAATAGTCATTGCTTATCTGAAATTCAATTTTAACTAGTCATTCTGTACTTTATCTGACAATCCTATCCCAGGATCACTCGCTCCTCCTCTGCCTCCAATAACCTCTTTCTAAAGAACTTCAGAGATTCTAGATTTTAACACCTTTCTAGAATGATTCTAATACTTAAATAGCTCCTGAGTTGATCCCTAAGGTTTTTCCAAACCCATTGGGTTCAATCTAAGATCACAAAGGAGTCCCATTTGTAGGTTCTTGACTGAAGCTGTTTCCAAATAGATACACGTTTCTCCTAAGGGCCCTAAAGTTAGGGTGTTTCAGGATAAAGAATAAGCTAGTGATAACTCAGTACTAAGTTAAAGCCAGTCTTGGGGTAGCAAGAAAGCTACTGAATACATGTGACACGACCTTGTGACATATTGTGATTTCACAGGCTATTTTAATTCCACACAATTTTTCCTCATAAGGATCCAAAAGAAAAAAATGGCCAAAATATGTACAAATACCTCATAAAATTAATATTTAAGTTAAAAAACAGTTCACGTGAGAAATTATTTTCACTTAGATTTTCTTGGTCAAGTAGTTCATATGAATTTGATGAAGCTCACCTTTCACTGTTTTTTAAGACAATAAACTTAGTGGCTTTCGGTTCAATTCATATGCCTTAAATCAAACAAATCAACACATTTACCAAATGCTGACATATTAAAATAAGTATGTTTGTTTCTCCTACCTGCTTAAGTAATCTCTCTCTCTCTTCCATCGGAGATCCCATGCTTTTGTCTTCCGCAATCATTTGATCTCGATGAGACTCCAACTCATAAAGCTTTTCATGCAGCAATACAGCCTCCTGTTTTACCTGGGAGTGTGCTATTTCCTGGAGGAAACATTTAATTAGCATTTTATCTAAAACTATTACCAAATAGGTTTCGGTTTACAAGAATAAGCACAAATTTTAAACCACCAGCATCTTTAAATGCTATAAAGCACATTCCTAAACTAGAAGAAAAAAAATAAATTCCTGTATACTTTCATAAGCTATTTTCAGTCTAAGATTCACAAGAAGATGATAATCTTACCTTATTTTATTTTCTAAATATAAGACCTGAGAAAACACAGGACATCTCTACCAATGGAAAGATAACAAAGAAAATGTCACAACGTATGCACAACTTTACCCACAATATCCAATTCCACGTCCAAAGAACTGATCTCTAGAGGGAAGATATCTTCCCCTGAATGGGTCATATACACACTCCCACAAACTTATGGGCTGAATACTGTCCCCTAAAAACATATGTTGAAGTCCTAAGGTCTAATACCTGTGAATGTGATCTAATTTGGAAATGAGGTCTTTGCAGAGTTAGTCAAGTTAAAATGAGGTCATTAGGGTAGACCCCAATCCAGTATGACTGGTGTCCTTATAAGAAGAGATAAGATACAGACAGAGACACAGAAGGAGAACGCCATGTGATGACACAGGCAGAGACGGAAGTGATGCAGCTGTAAGTCAAGGAACAAAAGCCAAGGATTGATGGCCACCACTGGAAGCTAGAAAGAGGCAAGGAAGGATTCTACCCAGAGTCTCAGAAACAGCATGGCTCTGCCAACACCCTGATTTTAGACTTCTGGCCTCTAGAACTGTGAGAAAATGGCTGTTGTTTTAAGCCACGCAGTTTCTGGTACTTAACTACAGCAGTGCTAGGAAACTAACACACACGAGTAGAACTGTTACTACGTATTCACCACTGTTCTACTTTCACAGAGAGAAAATAAGGGAGGTGACAACTTTATTAGATAACCAAAAGAGCTAGGGATGTTGGTGGTGATGAGGGGGAGGGGGAGGAGGAAGGAAATGACATCTGAAGCTGTTACTTATGGAGCAGGCACCGTATTCCATGTTTTTTATACACTCTGTCTAAAGCAACTCTAGAAGAGAGTACTATCACCTCTGTTTTACAGATGAGGAAACTGAGTATCTGGATCTAAATGACTTTTCTAAGTCAACAATGATATCTGAAACGAGGCCCACAGTATGAATAAGACCAGATTTTTAACAGGGAAGACCTCATCTTTTTTGAAAGCAAAAGAGAACAAATTTTTAAAAGATGAAAAAGTGAACAACAGGAAATATTTGAAAGTCCATAGGCAAATGGTTATAGAGCTCATGTAGTGGATCAGCTTCAGCTAAAAAGGCAAAACAGGAAAACACACACAGGAGAAACACAGATATTTGAGGTATTCCTTTTCAGAGTATCTTCCTCTTCCTTCTGCTTAACCCTCCTATAGACTCATTCAAACTACATCTTGATAAAACTGTTCCTTGAGACTCAAGCTCATATTGATCCTTCACCTGACTTTATCACACCCCTGTGAAATGCATAAGTAATACTTAGCTCAGCAGTAAGCACACAGTGGATGCTCAATAAATACTAGCTGACTAATATTTGACATAATATATTCTTGAAGAACAAGTCCACGCCCCCTCCAAAATGAGGAATCTGGCAAAAATTAAATAGAATTAGTAGTGACTTACACTTTCTTGATTTGAGAATACTGTATCTTTGTAAAAATTCAAGTTATTTTAGGGTTGCAATGATGCCAAAGAAGAGTGGCATCAACACAAACACTAAACCCAGGGGTACAGCTTAGACTTCTTCCTATGGAAACTAAATTTGCCAAGTGAAATAAGACTTGACTCTCCCACACACCCTAAAAAAGATAGTGATGAATTCTTCAAGCTGCCTCTGTTAATACTAAATGTGGTCCTTATTCCCTGAAGCATGTTTCTATCACCAATGAGATTCAAGAAAACAAAAATTATGTGTACTCACATGTGGACAATCTGATACAGAAAACCATCTTAATATTTTTAAGCAAACTATTTTTTTTGATAACAAATTTCTAAAATAATGTTTACAAAATACTCATGTTTATTTCTTTCACAAGCTGGGTGACAGCAATCTTGTCACTAACCCTATCATCATGATATCTACCTGAATCCACAGGGAATCAGAAAAGGCAAGCAAGATCTCAAGTACAGACAGTAGAGTGAAGTGCAAAGGACATGAGAAGACAGTTCACAGAACAAAATACATTGCCCAACAAATATCTAAAGAGATCCTCAACTTCAGGTGTAAATAAATGAAAATTAAAACGAGACAGTAATTTTTACCTATTAAACTAGCACAAATGGAAAAGGTGGGTAATGCTTGCTGTTCATGAATGCAGGGGATAACAGGCACTCATACATTGAGTCTAGGAGGAGAAAATGCAACCACCTTTTGGAAGGCAATTTGGCAAACTCATAACATTTTTAAAGTGTATACCTTTTGACCCATTGCAAGAAATCCATCTTAAGATATACTCATATAATTTTGCACAAAATGTATGTTTTCACTGCAGCATTGTTTATAATCCCCCCAAAACTATAAACAGCCTATTCATCTACAAGGCTGTGTTACTGTCATTCGATGTAGTAATTAAACATGGGGGAAGATCTCTAAGAGCTGATGTGAATAGACATTCCAGAGAGAACGCTAGGTGGAAAAAAGAAAAAAACAAAACAAAAAACAAGCTGCAGACAGTGGATCAGGTGTGAATCCCACTTGAGGTTTTCCAAGATAGTCAAACCAAGGTAGGATTACAGAATTGTTGTGAAGAATAAATAACAATGCTGGTGGTATATGTAAAGAGCTGAAAAAAGCACACAGCCAGTACTCAATAAATGTAAGAGTTGTTCTGTCTGGAAAAAGAGTAAAGAAACAGGCATTTTTACTTTCATTTATTGTATTATAAACATGTTTTGTTTTGTGAATTAAAATTGCTTTAAATAAACAAGTAAGAAAACAAATGCAAGCTTCTACACCTTTAAAGTGATTAACTGATCTCTCGCCTTCATTTGTTTTTAGTCCCTTGTTCATGTCTTTAAACTACCATTAGATCTTGCACACCCCAGCAGGGCAGAATGATTTCTTTTGTTTACAGTAGGTACTCAATAATTGAATCTAATTTCTCACTAAAAGTAGGGTATTCGTGGTCCTGAATGAGGAAAACATTAATATATGCCTGTTAGTAAACTGCTAAATAAATATGCACCTAAACGAGTTCCATTAATATATTTAGCTGAATTACCTTTTGTAGCTGAGTACTATGAGAACCCTTATTTGATTTTATACTTACAGCTTCCAGACTCTCTTTTTTCATGTTCAGTGAATCTAGTTCTTGCTGAAGTGTATCTAGTTCCTAAGAAGAAGGAAAAAAAGTAAAAGCATATGCAAGTTACATCAAGAACAATTTGTTTCTGGGCCAGCCCTGGTGCCCTAGTGGTTAAATTCAGTGCGCTTCACTTAGGTGGCCCAGGTTTGGTTCCCAGGCAGGGACCTACACCACTCTTCTGTCAGTGACCATGCTGTGGCAGCGGCTCACATACAAAAAGAGGAAGACTGGCAGCAGATGTTAGCTCAGGGTGAATCTTCCTCTGCAAAAAAAGAATAATTTGTTTCTCTGTTTCTCAACATTTCAAATATGGATGTGACAAAGTAAAGATCTTCAATCCATATCTTGTGATGTGAGCAGAATTTATTAACATTCATTATTTCTATTTTTCCCAATTTCTTTCACTATTCCTAAAAACTGCCATGATCTACCTTTAAAAATACTTCATGAGCTTGTCATAGGTAGCTAGACCTTCACACAGAGAATCATCACTGTGTTCTGAGGATATTAAATATCAGAAGCCTTCAAATTAGTGATGTCATTGTTTAAAGTTACAATTTTTTTTTTGAGGAAGACTGGCCCAGAGCTAACATCTGTTGCCAACCTTCCTCTTTTTGCTTGAGGAAGATTGTTGCTGAGCTAACATCTGTGCCAATCTTCCATTTCATGTGGGATGCTGCCACAGCATGGCTTGGTCTGTGATCAGGATCCAAACCTGTGAACCCCAGGCCGCCAAAGCAGAACACACGATCTTAACTACTATGCCACCAGGCTGGCCCCTAAAGTCATGATTTTTAATTTTGATTTTTAATCATGTTTTACTGTTTTTTATGTAATCTCTTTAAGGGTCAAGACCTATAGCACGTTACATGGCTCACTCCTAGGGATAAGACCCTTGAACTGATAACTCATTCAAAAACCCCTCTGTAAGATTAACTACATTTTGATAGTATTCTGACACTTCCATAATACTCTTTAATGTTTCATTGTATCTTATAAATCCTGTCTAAAATAACAAGCTCTATTAAATCATCAACGAAGGACCATCTGAGAAACTAGAAATACATTCATCATTGGCATCTGTGGGGATTAATTCTCCGTTAACTGGTTAAGGGACAGCTGGGCATGAAAGGGCACCAGGACTGCATGTTGGGAGGATTTCTAATAACCCTTCAGCAGGCACCCAAATTGCTTATTTAAACCCCATGATTGCGAAGCAATACTGGTTCAAATCAAGGACATAATAGGTAAAAGATTTGCTGCTTATTAGGCAAGAAGAAAAGGAAGGAAAGTAAATATCCATATGGCTCTGGCATATAAGAGCTTTTTAAATGTTTCCATTAAAAGTTCATTAAAAAGTATTTTCATGTGTCTTTATGACAGGCAAAAATAAAGGATGCACAGAACTGAACAAATAATATAAAAGCTAGGTAATTGTACAGCATAAGAAAATGAAGTTTTCTAGATGAGTGCTTCTCAAATTTAAATGTCCACACGAATCATCTGGGCATCCTGACAAAATGAAGACTCCGATCAGCAGGTCTAGTCAAGCTCCCAGGGGATGCTGATGCTGCCCATCTTCAGACCACATGTTTAGTAGCAAGACTGCTATATGCTTGGCACAGAGTAGTAATTAGTGTTACCTGCAACAATTTTTCATTTGTTGTTTTCATTTCCATGTATTTGACTTGCTTTTCAGGAGACATATTTTTGATAATGCCATCTGCTGCTTGTTTTTCCTGTTCAATTTCTTCTTCTACACTTCTAATTTGTTTTTCCTTCCTGAAATTGAAAGTACACAATATTCCTCTTACTATATTGAGGGAAAAAAACATCAATTAATTTTACTCAGGTCCCGGTCTCAATTAAATAGACTACTTAAAGTTATTCAACCATAGTTTGTGATTTAAAAGTCCTTATAGATGTACAAAAAACTTCTACTTGACCTGTACAAAATTTGTATCTATTAGCATAAACATACGTCTTCCTCCTCTCAATCCTCAAATCCTTCTATTTCCTTACTCTCCATTTTACTCTATTCTCTTATAAGAAAACACCAAGATTATCAAAGAAAATCCTTACAGCCTTTTACATATGAAGATGTATTTACACTTGTTGTTATCATGCCCTCAAGACAATTAAGATAGGTAAATTTTAGAACAGTAGTTTTCAAACATCTTTTGGCCACAGAATTCTCTGACCAAATGAAAATCTTGTATGGAAGTTTACCCTGTAAATCACACAAAGTAACACAGCTCTGACTCAAGTGGGAAGTAGGGAGACCTATATTGCAATCTGATAAAATTTAGATTAATAATACATTTTGTTTAAATTCCCTTTTATCTACTGTTTTAATTAAAGCTGGTATTCCACAAATTATCAACTATATTTTAGTACTGCAAAATAATAAATTAATTTCCCTAAACACATAACAGAAACAATTCAAGTATAATCATATGAAAGTACTAGTAGTGAAGTTAATTACAAACAACAATCATCTTTATCATATGATCACAAGAAATACTAGTGATGTGTCACTTATTACCTATGTAAGGTCAATTATCAATAGGGTAGAGAAAAATTCTGAAAAAAACTAGAGATAAGAAGCTAGTTATTGTGAAAATACTTCAAGATTTACAGATAAAAAGCTTGCTTGAAGAAAAATTTTCAGTCCCAATATCATAAATTTCTATTTTGAATTTAAAAACATGATTATTGTACTATTTAATCTCATGCATAGATGTCAACTTCTACAGTTTTCACAATCACTAGCCAAGCCCTACAGATCCACATACCACCACATACTCTTTCCACGTTCATACCCTACTACCAGAATAAGATAACCTGAACTCAGAAATTTTCCTATAAACAACATCTCATAATAACCAAATAAAAGACGAAGATAAAGAAACAGACAACCTGGAATTTCTATTTATTTCTGTCTCACTGTTGGACAGGGAGTGACATCTTCAATTTGAACCTCCATGACTATAGTATAACAAATGTGTTTGCTGCTGCTACAATTTATATGGGATGTGGGCTCACATGACTTTCAAGCAGAAAAGATCATCTGCTTCAATCTCTTTGTTTTATAGATTAAGGATACTGAGGCCCAGAGGAGTAAACCTTTTGGAACTAACTCATTCTGAACTCCACGATTATTCACTACCAACAGTGAATCTTAACCATGTTTTTTTGCCTGGTATGACTACTGTAGTTAGATGGGAACTAACATTGTACGGTGCTCCATTTTACAGAGGGGAAGTTACAGCACAAGGAAGGAAACCGATTTTTTTAAGGCCACATAATGGCCAAGTGTGAAGTCTTTTATGCTTTGAGTACTTTGCTCCTGTTATAACTTAGCAGTAAAACCACCAATGGCAGTGTCATAAAAATGAGTAAACAACAAAGTTGAAACTCAGTGGAATACAAAAGTTGGTGGTATCTTTTCAACTTGAATCTTACTAAACACAAAATACTTTTAGGACTAACACTTAAATCACCCTAGCAATATTTCTTTCAAAGTATACAGTCTCAATTATTATATATCTTAACTCACAAAGTAAATTTGTTAATATTTAAATTTTTCAACAGTAATTAAGAAACACAAAGGTTAAGCAAACCACCTTACTTGTTACACTAAAAAAGTCAAAGATGACGTTAAGAAATTTTTCTTCTAGTCAATCTTTTGCTAAGGAGGTCTAACTTTTTTTTAAATCACTTTTTTTTTTGAACCTTGGGTACAAAGGTTAAAACAAAGTGAAATGCAATCACATGACATACTTTTTTTTAATGGCGGAGAAGAAACAGAATAGATTCCTTAGCACGCTAGCCTCCGAGACAAAAGAAAAAAGTAAAGGTAAGATCCTATATATGTACAGGTTTGGTGGTTGTTGTTGAATTTTAAAAAAATCATATTCAATTCTGTAGAAAAATCTTTGCCTTTAATAAGTGATGAAAGAGCAGAAAATATGATTATATTTTCACACAATCTACCTTAGAAAATATAAACCTGGAACATAGCCAAAAAAATCTTTCCCAAATAAAGTTATAATGTAATATACAGTAATGATTTTTCTTTTGGGGAAAAAAGGTTTCATCTTGCCAATCAAATTTATAAGATCTTTTTATTTTGTAATATGTTAATAACAGAGCATTTTGAAGTGACATTAATTTAAAAACAAATTTGTAAGATGAAAAAAGACTGGCCACCTGTTAACAACTGTTGAAACCGGGCAAGGACTATTCTCCTTACACAGGGGTTTTTTTCCTTGGAAGTTTCCATTATGAAAGTTTTAAAATTTGCAAAAAAAATCTATAAAACATTTAATTACAAGAGTGAAGTTAATCGTGACTTATTAACATATTATTCCAAATACACTGAATTCTGGCATAAATATCTAAAATATTTAACGGCAAAACTATACATACATTTTATGTAACAAAACCAAAATAACTACAGCATCTTTTAACATCATGGTATATAACAGTCATATGAAGTAAATAATCAAAAACTCCTAAGGAACTTGGAGTTGAAACTGTACTAAGAACATTGTTTCTTTTTCAATATCTACCATTTCCTTTTCTGTAAAGTTTTTTTCTATAATGTACATTGTAGGCTATGTAAAAAGGCACTTAATTTTGTGAAATAATTAAAAGAAAAGTGATATTCCATTTGTTCTCGATTTTTTATCACTAAATTCAAATGCAAATATCATCTCAAAATAAATTTCAAATAGAGAAAAAATTTCAAAGAGAGAAAAAAGCAATAATAGTTGTTTTCTTTTTTTAAAGAAACTTTCCAAATAGGGTAAATTGGCTTAGGACAATTCCTGCATAACCTAATGACTAGCCTTTCTGCCAATCTGATTTCTTCAGGATAGTCAATAATGCTAGCAAATGTTGTTGTCTAAAGGATTTATCTATTCAGTGTCGTGATAGTCAACATCAACTCCCTCTCTCAATCTTTCCCCTCTCAAGAGACACACAAATATATGAAAAGTGCCACGGACTGTGTGGCTCACTCAACACATTTCACAGCCTTAGACTTAATAATGCTTTAGATCTGTTGAATGCTTTCTTGTACAGAATCTACCTCAAGCTCTGAGTATATACTGCTTCTAACTCCAAAATTTACCACAGAGAAATTTAAAAAAGATTCCTTTTCTAATCCTTATAATTTTATTTCCTTTAGCACACTAGAGAACACAATTATTAGTATTAATAGATGATAAAGATAATGTCTACAAGACAATCCTGCCTCCATTTCCTCACAGGCTCACAGCCCTGCCTGATCTCCAGAACCTTCCTCAGCTGCTTCTATTCCATGGCAACTCTTAATTTTGTTTGCAGTCTGTTTGCTTCCTTTAGTGATCCCTATCCTATTTATTTCTGAAAAAACAGCACTTCTCCTTACTCACCACCTTACCCACATCTGCACCCTACCAGATACATCAGTAAGAACTTCACTATACCACAGAGACCTACTGAAACAAGCCATTGCAGCGGCTGCATACTCATTCCTGGAGACCACTGAACATGGGTTTAATGATGCCCTTTCGTGGGAAATAGTCTGAAATAAGTGAGAGCTTGAATGAATTTCTGACTCTAAAAGAGATGCTATTATGATCTACATCTAAGTTGTAAAATTGATGAGGAACAGTAGCTTTTTCTAACAAACTTGATTTAACTATGAAGAAGGAGAAAGTTGAAGGGGAATAAGCATAAATAGATCAACAAACTGAAGGCAACAAGGAAGTTAACCAGAATAGGCCAGTACTGAAATAACAGTAAGTTGGTCATTGCTAACGAGGCAACAGACTTCAGTAACTCAAAATGAGTCTTGCTTATTCTGAGTAGTTTTCTATTTCCTGCTCTGATAGAACAAACTTCTCCTTAAAAATCACAAGTAACTAACTGCAACAAAAGCTGTAAGAAGGCTCAAATGTCTACATTTTAGAAAACCACTAAGGATGCTAATAACAGGATACATTCATTCCTTTCAAACAGCTCATTTGTTTGCGCCATAGTTTCTAATGTTGACTTTAAGAAAGCAGAGATAAAAACAAGAAACATCAAGCTTATGAATAAAATGACTAAATGGAAAGTAACAATGTGGGCACTAGGCACAAGTGAGTGCAGGGATGCTATGCTGGAAACAGGGAGAGGAAGTTAAAGTTTACACACTAAGTTTTGAGATAAATGCACCTTTTTTGCCACTCAGCTCTCAGGATGCTGGCCACCTGGCCTTATCTGTTCAGACAGTAGATTAGAAAAGTCATTTTGGGGAATCCAACCAGCCCTGGGAAAGGATCTAAAGACAATGACATTCAGGGATTCCCCAAGAAAACAATAAAGCAAGCTCACTCTATAGTAAGGTCTGAAGTTAATGAGATCCACACAAATGCACAGTTTCCAATTCACTTTTTTGTTTCCCACTCTTATATGTAAGTCCTAGACCAAATATTAACAGATAATGAAGAAAGAAAGCCTCTAATATAAAGGATACTGACCAAAATAAACTGGAAAATCACAGCCTGAGGACACAGAGGCTATTCAAGGAAAAAGAAAACAACAAAAGATAATACATTCATGCCACAGTATATTAGCCAAGAAAATTTTCAGAGAGCAAAAGAGCTCTTAGAATTAAAAAGACGACAGAAAAAAAGGAAACTTTAATGGAAGATTTGAAGATAAAGTTGAGGATATCTCCCAGAAAGCAGAGCAAAAACTCACAGAGATGAAATGTAGGAGAGCAAAGATAAAAAATTAGAAAATCCTTCCAGGAGATCTAACACCCAATTAAAGTAGTTCAAGAAGGAGAAGTGAGATTAAAAAAAAAAAAAAAAAAGAGTACGAAAATTATCAATATCATCAATGAAATAATTCAGAAAATTTCCCAGAACTGAGGGACATAGTTTCCAGATTGAAAGCACCTACCCGGTACCGAGTTTCATGAATGAAAACAGACTCTCACAAAAGATCATAAAATTTCAGAATATTGATTTTGAAAGTTGGAGGGGTTAAGAGGAGGCAAGTTACATAAAAGGATAACGTATTAGAATGGCACAGCATCACAGTTCTGAACAGTAATACCAGAAACCCAAAGACAATGGGGCAATGTTATCAATATTTTGAGGAAAAATTATTTTCTACTTAGAATTCTATTTTTAGCCAAATTATCTTTCAAAGCTTGAAAAAATTTCCGTTCTACAGACCTTCTCAGAAGGCTACTGCAAGAAGCTCCATTAAAAAAGGGCAGCAATCCAAGACAGGCATTCTAGAAAACGGGAACGCAGGAACAAAGGCAAATGGGATCGTTACGTGAGAGTGGAAGGTGTGTGGAAGTTGGATGTGTGGAGGCCTAGGACCAGCTCATCTGGGTTCGAGCAGGGTAGCAGGCTCTCGGAGAGACTTCGTTAAGACAATGAAAAGGTTAAAGACTTAATATGCATAAACTATTGAGAGATTTGCTAAGGGAGAGTCTAGGTGTAAACTCATGAAAAAAAACAAAACTAAGCCTATAAAAAAACAGTACATATATTAATTAACAGTACATATAATAATAATGTATGTGCACATAGATTAATTTGGAGAGAAAAAGTGTGCAGGAGTGGAAAAGTAATCCCGTTACACGGCTCATTCATAGACAGCGTTTACACCTTTGTGATAGTATAGACACTGAACACTCATCTAACCAAAATTACAAGTAACTACGTTTGGAGGAAGAAGAGAGGAGAAGTGTATATTTGATGTGCTGGAGATGAAGGTAGAGAGTCTGAAATAGAGCTGGAGACTCTCATCTCCCACAGTTGGAAGTCAACGGATAACACCAATGGATAATGTCTAACATTGAAAAATCAAAAAGTAGCAATGTAAGCAAATACTTAAACATGTATGTATACATAAATATATATTCTTCTGGACTTTCTTTTGTGCACGTATATTAAAAATGTACAACTACTTCAATTGGTTTAAAGTTCCTTTCAATAGATCCAGGAACTAATGAGATACCCTAAAAAATATTGTCTTTCATCCTCCACAGGAGCTTTTTGGTTTGTTAAGATGAGAGTGCATGGAGGGTGAAAGACATGTACTTGCTTCACATTTTCTATTATTTTAAGAAAACAGAGATTTAAAAGGAGAAAAAAAGAAATCAAAATGTCCTTGATAATCTCAAAAGTTCTAGTCTCTTACTGAGATGAAAATACTCTCTTTTCTGTCAGGCCTGCGAAATGAAAACCATGTGCATCATGATCTTGTTTTGGCCCCTCTCTGTGCTATTATCAGACGAAAGCCAGACTTCTCAAACAGTAAGTTTTTACAATCAAGGTAGTGAAAATATTTTCAAAGGTACACTTTGTGTACATTTAGTAAAATATCCTAAGGCAATAAAAGAAAGCAAAAAAAAATCCAAGGTATCAAAACTAACTCTTTAATTAGCTGTGTATATTCAAAACCTGTGATCACTGAGCCAGATTCTAATTTGCCAAAAGCAGTCTTCATTTTTTTAAACCAAGTTTTTTTTTTTTTGAAGAAGAAGATTAGCCCTGAGCTAACATCTGCTGCCAATCCTCCTCTTTTTGCTGAGGAAGACTGACCCTGAGCTAACATCCATGCCCAACTTCCTCCACTTTATATGTGGGATGCCTACCACAGCATGGCTTGCCAAGCAGTGCCATGTCTGCACCCAGGATCCGAACCAGCGAACCCCGGGCCACTGAAGCAGAACGTGTGAACTTAACCGCTGCGCCACCAGGCCAGCTCCAAAACCGAGTTCTTTAAAAGTTGATTAAGGAGAAATCTGTAAATTTCCACTATAAAATCAGAGATTAGTTTCAAGACATAAAAAACCACACTTTAAAATGATGGAAACTTTCTTTTAAATCACATATTTACGAGGAAAATTATTGTGTTTATTATTATTTTCGGCAGGACATTTCAACTGCAAAAAGAATCAAAAGAAGAACTACTTCTTTGGATCTATATCCACACCAGGAAAGCACTTCTTCATGTTGCCTGGGTCTTTAAATTCAATATATGGCTCAATTTCTGTTATAAGATAAATATTTCCTTTTAAAACACCAAACTTTGAGCTGTTAACCCTATGAGTATTATTTCTTAATTATTTAATAGCCCTAGGTGTAGTGTTGATAGCCTTGCTGATTTTTTAAAAATTACATATTTTAAAATAATTTCCTTATTATAAATGTCAATCTTGCACTTTGAAATACTAAATAAGTTAGAATTATTACCATGTGTTTCCACATGTAAAATGGGAATATACCAATATTCTTTCTTTCTGTGATGTAATAACAGTTGGGAGATATCCGAATGACAAACTAGAATCTCCTTGCTCAATTATAGGTATCAGAATTTCCTTAATCCTCAGTATTTCATCTCAATAATGAAAGAAGAGTATTTGCTTTACCTTTTTCACCCTTTAACACCAGATTAGATAGTAGATTTTTTTCTAAAACTATTTCCTCCTAATGTCTATTTGCCTAGATATGAAAATTTGGGAAATTCTGTTAGTATTTTCCCTGATTAATGTATTTCTAATTTGTTTCTTTTTTAGGAAGTCAAATGTAATTTCACTGAAAAGAATTATTCTTTGATTCCAGCGGATATCAATGAAAACGTTACTATTCTTGATCTCAGTTATAATCAAATTACTCTGAATGTTACAGACACGAGTGTTCTACAGACTTATTTTTTACTCACTGAGCTCTATTTGATGGAGAACAATGTTGCTATCTTAGATAATAATAGTTTTAGTAACCTCTCCAATCTAGAAATTTTAAATATCTGTAGAAATTCCATCCACGTAATTCAACAGGGTGCATTTACAGGCTTAAATAAACTAAAACAGTTACATCTCTGCCAAAACAAAATATTACAACTGAATCCTGATATATTTGTGCCTCTAAAAAACCTGAAACTTCTGAATCTGCAAGGCAATTTGTTAAGCTATTTTGATGTACCACAACTGTTTCATCTGGAATTAATAATTTTATATGGAAATCCATGGAACTGCTCTTGTAGTCTCTTGAATTTGCAGAACTGGTTGAACACCTCGAATGTGACACTAGGTAAGCTATCAGAATTTAAATTAATCAAAACCAAAATGTGATTGACTTTTGGTTGTTCCACCCCAGAAAAGTCTTTCATTTCATGTTTTAAAGAAAAAGAAACTAATCCTTAAAGGGAAATCCTTCCTTAAAGGAAAGAAACAGGAAGAAACACTGAGAAGTAACTGTTGAACAGATACTTTCCCCTCTGCCTCTCCAGAGAAAAAAAAGAAGAAATTTAAATGTTCTGTATATGTGAGATGATACTGTTACTTCATGTATTAAGTTAGCGGTTTCAACACTTAAGACTAATTTTTTTTTCCTGAGCAAGATTAGCCCTGAGCTAACATGTGTTGCCAATCTTCCTCTTTTTTTCTTTTTGCTTCAGGAAGATTCACTCTGAGCTAACATCTGTGCCAATCTTCCTCTATTTTATATGTGGGTTGCTGCCACAGTGTGGCTGACGAGTGGTATAGGTCCACTCCTGGGATCTGACCCTGTGAACCCAGGCCACCGAAGCAGACTGCACTGAACTTAACCACTGGGCCACAGGGCTGGCCCCATGACTAACTTTTTTAAGTACTTCCTTTTCTTAGGATATCCTGCGAGAGAGCAGATGAAAACAGTTGCCCTACTTTCTTAACTGCAAGCCATGCTCTGCCTGAGATCCATATTTTTACCATAGTCTTAATTATAACATCTTGACTTTACTAACACAAACTAAATAATAAACAGATACCGCACTCAAACTCTATTTATAAAGTAACTTAATAAACAGGAATGTGCATCTTTCCCTCATTGTGTTGCTAGGCAAATACAAAAGTTACTTTCTTATAATATCTTTAATAATGAGAGATACGCGTATCAAAAATGTGGAGAAAAGGGAACCCTTGTGCACTGTTAGGGGAATGTAAACTGGTGCAACCACTGTGGAAAACAGTATGGAGCGTCCTCAGAAAATTAAACATAGCACTACCATATGATCTAGTGATCTCACTTCTGGGTATTTATCCAAAGAAAATGAAAATACTGATTTAAAGAGATACATGCTCCCTTATGTTCACTGCTGCATTATTTACAATGGCCAAGACATGGAAACAACCCAAGTTTCCACTGATGAATGAATGGATAAAGAAGCTGTGGTAATATATACAACAGAATGTTATTCAGCCATAAAAAAGAATGAAATCTTGCCATTTGCGACAACATGGATGGACCTCGAGGGCATTATGCTAAGTGAAATAAGACAGAGAAAGACAAATAACATATGATCTCTCTCATACGTGGAATCTAAAAAAAAGAAAAACCAAGCTCAGAGATACAGAGAACAGATTGGTGGTTGCATGGGGCAGGGTATGGGAGGTGGGAGAAATAGGTGAACTGTTTCTTGTTGTTCTTTTTTCAGTTTAAATGAAGAAATAATTCAAGATAAAAATAATTATAAAATGTTAACCATAAGAATCTTATTTTCCATAGTAAATCTTAATTTATTCTTTCTGATTTACTAGATAATGAGAACATCACCATGTGTAGCTACCCAGATATCCTGAATTGCTACAGTATCAAAACAGTTCCTTACAAGGGTGAATGCTACTCACAATTTCCTTCATTTGTATCTGAAGATCTTTATATCCATCTTCAGTCCATTAGCAACTCAACATTTAATTGCTCTTTGAACAACTTAACAACAACAGGTAACGTACTGGTTTTGAATATTAATATTGCTGAAGGGAGCATACGAAATAAACTGAGGTAGTTCTCATTATTTTTCTGCATTTTAAATTTCTAGAAACAAGGTAAATGAACAATTCCTCATCTCGACAAAAGGTTTACAAAATACTGGATTCCCAAACTACGCTCTGCTAGTTACCAGCCAAATGCCATTATGCAAGTTATTTAACTTCTCTGAGACTTAATTTTAACTAGTTAAGTCACAATTCTTAATAGGTATAAATCAATGATGTTCTTAGGTGAATGAATAAAAAATACCTGCAAAGACGGGTAGTTATTTTTAAAAAAGGTATTCTTCAATCACACTATCAAATATCTTTATTTATTGAAGTTTTAGTAACTGTTGCTTAAAGAAAATTATAATGTACTTTTATTTCTAATAACAATAGTGGGGAGTTATGATTATTTTATTTTCGTCAATTTAACAAAATACTGCCTCTCTCTCGTTATTCCATTTAAGAACATGAACCTCTTGGAAAAAGCTGGGCCTTTCTTGTTGGTGTTGTGGTCACTGCACTGATGACTTCACTCCTCATTTTTATGGCTATCAAATGCCCAATATGGTACAATATTCTGCTTAGCTACAATCATCATCGCCTGGAAGAGCATGAAGCCGAAATCCATGAAGATGGTTTTACTGGAAATCCAAGTTCTCTTTCACAGATACCAGATACAAACTCTGAAGGCTGTGCAGGAACATTTGAACAACTACATTCATTTGCGGTAGATGATGATGGGTTTATTGAAGACAAATATATAGACACTCATGAGTTATGTGAAGAAAACTAATTTCTTTCAATGTTTGATTCTTTAAAATATGTTGTTATATCACTCACAGTTTAGGTATGGAGATTTTGATATGTGACATACCAAACTAGCAGACTTTCATATTAATAGCAACATATTAATTGTAGATCCAAATACAGTAACTGACACTCCTTGACAGCTAACAGTTACAACACTAGCATTATTATTCTCAGCAGTATTCAGGAGGCCATACTTACTAGTAAGGAAAAGTATTAAAAAGCCTTTAATCATTAATTAAACTGATTCTCAAATTCGCCCAGATATTAAATAATATTAAGTTTTACTGCTTGGAATCGGTAAAGAAACAAAGCTTTTGGATTTATATTATCAGCCAAAGTGAGAAACAAAGATAGCTTAAACAAACAATATACTAAGATTGATTTTATGATCATAGAATGAATTCATAGAATTGGAAAATAGTTTTTTTAAATGCTTCCTGAATTAGCACAATAAATTTCCTGAAAATTTAGTAGCAATTTAAAGCACAGGCAAAATGTTCAGGCACAATCTCTAATAAGTTACTACTGATTTTGGCTATAAAGATAGACCATCACCATAATACATGATCGTTACAATTGAATAGTATGGGGGCTTCCAAAGTGAGTATCACAATGATCTATGAATCTTGTTTTAAAAAATATTTATTTCTGCCTCTCTTGGGGAGATTTTTATTCAAATGAGTCTGTGCTGGGACTGAGGAGTGTTCAGCTGGTTCACAGACAGCTGTTTGGGATCCTATAGATAGAGCAATGTTTTCTAAACTGTTTTCAAGACCATTAATTTCCAGAGAGACATTCAGAAGTATTTACAGGAGGGAAAAAAGGTATACAGTCAAATTACCAGAGAACTACTATAGGAAGTACCGGGTTTAAACAGAGTGAAACAAGATATTTTACTATAGGACTTATCTAAGACTTTACTAAGCGAAACTGCTTTCTGCTCTGCAAGAGCAAAGTACTAAATATTCTCTAAACTTGGAGCTGGCCCAGTGGCGCAGCAGTTAAGTGCGCACGTTTCGCTTCTGTGGCCCGGGGTTCGCTGGTTCGGATCCCCAGTACGGACATGGCACTGCTTGGCAAGCCATGCTGTGGTAGGCGGCCCACATATAAAGTAGTGGAAGATGGGCACGGATGTGAGCTCAGGGCCAGCCTTCCCTCAGCAAAAAGAGGAGGATTGGCAGGAGTTAGCTCAGGGCTAATCTTCCTCAAAAAAACAAAGAAAAAAGAATTCTCTAAACTTACTCGACAACTAGTCTTCCTTTGATGTACGCCCATTAAGAGATGATAGCACAACAATGGTCCAAAGAACACAGTTTGGAAAACACTGGCCTCAAGACTATTATAGGAAGCGTCTAAAGTGATTTGCCAATTCCTTAAAATCAATTAGCAGTGACTATAATTTTAACATCCTAATGCAAACAGTGGCATTAAAAACTGTGACAAAAGTTATCCTTTTTACCTTGCATATGTGGAGAAATTAAGTATATTTATATTTTTTAGAGAAAAGAATATCTCTCAAACATTGAAATATATTTATGGATGAAATAGATACTTTACATTTTCTTCATCATGATACAGGGAAGGCAATAGCGGCTACAGGTGTGGATGGAGCACAGTTAGATATGGGCTGATGCAGCTGGGAGATAAGTACACAGTAGGATAATACACTATTTTATTTTTGTGTATGTTCAAATTTCTCCATCATAAAGTTTTTAAAATGTGTATGTATTTGGTAGTTTCTTAGAAAAAAGAGACTAAAAATAATGTATTTTATATTCTGCAGAACAGTCATGTTAAAGGTTATATCAATAGTGAATTCAGTTCAAATGTCTTCTGAGGAAAATAGAAACTGTTCAGGATGACACATCCTAGGAAACAGAAGAACTGAGTCACTTATTTATAATGTATATCTGCTTGTGTTTATAGAAACATATTTTCAATAAAGGATATAAATGTTTTATGTGTATTATTTCCTAATAGATAATATCAATTACACTTTATTGTTTTATATCTCAAATATAAGAGTAAGATAATTATAGAAACATGAGGCATCTTTTTCTAAATAATCTATCACTTTCCCAAAATATAATTTCCTAACTTAAGAGGGAAATATTAATATTTGAGAAATGTAGTAAAATGAAATATGATTATGAGTGAACTATATCTAATCTCATATTCAAGATTTCTCTATAATTGAATATTGGGTATTCAACAAATATTGGACTAAACAAAGAAAAATAAATGGGTTAAAAATTACAATTACATATGTTTTTAAAGGATAACTAACTTTGCCTAATACTGAACTAGAAAAGTGTAGATATCAGAATTGGAAGAGAATCATTAGTTCAAGAAAGAATGTGAAATTGAATTAAAGCCAAGTGTCTATGTATTGTTATAGTAATCTATTAAGGCTATGTACTATAACCAACTTATTATGAATAGGTGTTCCATAAGAAACCAGATAGCCATGCCACACTACATGGCATACTAAAAGAGAAGAGAATGAAAACCGAAGTTTTTTACACCGGCCTTCTCAAGGTATGGCATTTCCTGCTCCCTTTGAATGTGTAGAGTCAAAGTAGATCCTTTTGTTACTGAGATTTGCCATCTAATTAACACATGAAATAAATCTATCCTCCCGCTGCAAATAAAAGTAAATTTCTGCTTAAAAGGGTCAGGAGAACCTATTTCACTCAGCCTCAGTTACAAACTACAGATATTAAGTTTTGAAACTGCTGACATTTTCAGGACAAAATACCACATTTTAAAAAATTTTTCTTAACCAAATGAACCAAATAGACCTAAAAACCTATGATATTCTTCAACTTACAATCTGGGAGTTACCTTTTTGTATGAAATATCTAAAAAAATGTACATATAATATTTATAATCTGACCTGGGTATTATATAACTTTATATAGATAAATGATGAAATGAATGAGGACCTAAATGTTCTAAACTCTATAATGTCTTCAATGGGCTATAGCTTATTATTTCTTATTCTTTTTAAGTACCTAGGAGCAGATTTTATATGCAGCAAATGGCAAATATTTGTTAAATGGTTTAAAACCAGAACAACAACAAAAAGGAAAGTTTTCAAGTAAGAGTCTGGTGGTCACCATGAATGTAAAATTTTCTCTATTAAAGGGAAGAGACATCTAGTATTTATAATTTTTAAGACAGTACTCTACAGCAGCATCAAATGATAGAGTTGGAAAAAGAGATTCTTTGGTTTTTAATCAACAGAAGAATTACATTTATCTTTCAAATATTTTATTATTATATTTTAACATCCTATTCTTCATCAAATATTTACTATACATGCATAGGTAACATGACAGTATATTTGGTGGTAAACAATTTTGGTAATTTTGGCTAATTATTATCCTTGCTCTCAAAGAGATTAATACTGATAAATTTCTGGGACAAAAATGTGTGTGGCATGTGTGTGTACAAAATACCTCATCTTCTATGTTTGCATTGCCTTAGACAATATTTAATTAAGGTCAAAAAGTTGATAAATAATAATTATGTTAACTACTGCTATTGTCTGAATATTTGTGTCCCTCCAAAATTCATATGTTGAAATCCTAACCCATGAAGGTAATGCTATTAGGAGGTGAGGGCCTTTGGGAGATGATTAGGTCATGGAGCCCTCATGAGTGGGATTCATGCCCTTATAAAAGAGATTCCACAGAGCTCCCCAGAAACTTCCACCATGTGAGGATACAGCAAGAAGGTGTCGAGTATGAACCAGGATAGGGGCCTTCACCAGAATGGGACCACGTCAGTGCCCCAATCTTGGACTTCCCAGCCTCAGAAACTGTAAGCAATAAACTCCTATCGCTTATAAGATACCCAGTCTATGGTATTTTGTTATAGCAACCCAAACAGACTAAGACAACTACATCACAACTACTTATTATCTTTGTAGGCATTACTGTCATTGCCAGTTACTGTATTACCAAAGTCAAAGTTACTTGGTATTTGGTTTTAACCAAGTTATATATAAAGACGCACATATAATCTAATCTGTCATGTAGATTACTAATATAACTATTAATTATCAATTAATAATTGAATAATGAAATAAAGCAAATAGCCCACTGACTAATAATGTACCTTTACTATACCGGGGCTTAAAATCTCATAATTCAAACTAGTTAAAAAGCCCAGGTTAAAATTAAAATTGGTAAAGATGAAGATGTTCTTATCTAGCTCAGATTTTAACTCCTAGAAGTACAAATTTTACTTATCTAATTTATATAGAAATTTTATTTGTATAGGATTTGGGTACTTAATGGTAAATGAAGATAAGATGTATAAACAATAAAATTTGTATTGCAAATATTCAACTTTTTAAAATAAAAAATGCCACAGGAAAAAACAAGCAAACGTGTGAAAAAATAAATGACTCAAAAGTTAACCATCTAATACAGCTCACTTATAAATCTGTTAGAGTTCTAAATGGATGTACTTACGCTTGTCTTTCAGTAAATATGATATCCATACTTTGTGTTTCTCGATCATTTTGAGCTTTAAGCTGAATAAAGAGTCAACACAGAAATTAGTGATAAAAAATTACCATTAAACCAAACTATTTCTTTAAAGGTTATTCTGGTTATGAACTCATTGAGAGATTATTATAATAATCCTAATGCCACATGCAAAGTTTTAAAAATATACAGTATTTGTTTCATCTAACAAACCACAACACCAGATACAAAGAAACAGTCTTTTTTGCAGACACTGTAATCTCATACCAAAAATATTCACTGTTCTCTAGTGATCTGTCAAATAATCCAACGTAAACTTAATTTATGTGAACAGAATTTCAAGAATTTTTGGGTCTTTAATAGTTGATTAGTAATATGTTGAATTTAGACCCAGTACAAGTTTTATTCTTAAAACATTCAGGACTTTACCTGAGTACTCCTAGTTGACACTATCTGTGCATATTCAGCCTAGAATTTGAACCTATCCCAAATAAGTGACAAAACACATAAAGAAGTTTCTACTTTTTACATTTGGCATTAGAAATATAGTTTTTTGAATTGGGAATTCTCTTGTGTTCGAAAGCTAAGAATAATTTCATTAAATTATGCTTTTAGAACCCTAATTTAGAAAAGAGTGATTTTATAAATTCTATGCTATCATAGTTTTTGATTATGTAAATAAATTATAAGCTATATAAGTTATAAATTGTATGTCACGTTCTTCCAAATGTTTATAATCAAAATAAGCTAGCTACTATCACTTTGTTTCCTGCCAAATAATCTAAGAACACTGAACACAAATTCTCAATTACCAATCAAAAGTAGTATTATGTCTGGCAGCATGATAATTATTTTTTCTACTTTTCTACCTTTCTTATAAAACTCGGTAAAGGTGCCATGGTATCTCCATTGAGTACTCAGCTCCATTTGTGCAAATTTTAACTAGAAGTATTGCAAACTAGTTTATACACAAGGAAATGTAGATGGGACTCCCTAACTAATGCTGAGTGTGGGACCAGTTCAAACACAGCCTTGTAGAAAGACACTATAGCATCCTATTGGGAGAGCCAACCAACAGGAAGAAATTTAAAAAGAGCAAGTAAGGGAACTCAACCATAATAGTGGTAGTTAGGATCAGAGAAATACCTATCTCTAAGGTCCACAAGGTTTTATCAAACTATTTCCAGATAACAAATGCTTTGTTTTGGAGGATATGATCTATGTAGATCTATTGCTTACATTTATAAATGCTCTTACCATGTTGTAATCATTCATTACTTCTTCCATTTCAGTATTGGTATTAAGTTTATCTACCAACTAAAAAACAAACAAAATACATTCTATTAGTCTTCATAAATTTTCTCTATACTTCCTAATATAGATATTCAATCTTACAAATAATTAGTTATTTAAACACTAATACTTTGAAATATTCTAAGATAAAAACAAATACTGAGCTACCTAAGTAAGCATATACTATGCATTTGGCCAATCAACAAATTACATTTTTAGAGTGGAAAAGTGAGTAGTAATAAACTACTCTTCCTACAGATTGTACCTTGAAGAGCTCTGCCTGCTCTGAAAAGATGTCTGAGCTTATAAGCAAGGTCTAGAGAAGACAAAAGTTTGGGGCAGATCTCTCTCTCTCTTTTTATTTTTCAGAGAAGGGTGTAAAACAGATTTACAAATTTATACCAGTGAAAATGTAAAATGATTTTCTTAGTCTTCTAAAAATAAAAAAAACCACAGGGTATGGCACAAACAGAACACTAGTAAGCCTACTTCAAAAAGTAGGCAATGACAGCAATAGCTAACATAGTTACCTTGTGCCAGACACTGTTCTGAGTCTATTATAGGTATTACTTCACTTAATTTTCACAGTTACTCTATGAAGTAGATATTACTGTCCACATATTGCAGATAAAGAAATTTAGCAAGTCGTGGAGCAAGAATTTGAACAGGAAGGCTACTAAAAGCAAACTATTTGGGTCTAATTGATTCTAAAAGACTAAGCTTTACTAATGTAATATACATCAGTATATATCACATTTTCACTTGTGATATGAATAATAAGTGCTAATAAGACCCAACATTTATGCAGATCTTACTATACGTTAGATACTTAGCTAAGTGCTTTCTCTGTATCAGGTGTTAGCTCGTTAAACCTTCAAACAGCATATTTCATGTTATTGATATTTCTATACTAAGTAATTTACCTAATGTATTCCAGTACAAGTAAAAATCCCTTTCATCTAATGTCATTTTATATTTTCTAAAAAATGATTTTTCTCATATTTAGAACAGGACATCATTTACTAAAAAAAACTGCACTGAATATTAGGCCCTACAAAATGTTCATTTTGGATTATGTTCAACAAATTTGAGAACTATAATATACTATAATAAGCAAAAGTTTGTTTATAAGTACAATATAACAACATCAAGTAGGTATATCATAATTTACCCAGCCATTACGGTAGAATGTTTCTTATTTTGTGTAACACTATTTTTTAATAGGAGATGAGAGATAAAAGTGTTTCTCTTCATTGAGTCCAGGCACTATTGCTGCCTAAAGCACCCACGGAGTCTGAAGGAAGAAAATTTTGTCAGTAGAAATTTTCATGGGGCCAAGATCACCCCAAAGATTGGGGCAGTTATTAAGCCTGCTGAGGGATTATTTCTTCTGAAAATCACACTAGGAAGCATCCTTAGTGGAACTACGTTTATGTTACATACCCTATTTTGACAAAAGGCAAATACTATATTTTGAATGAAATATATGGATGGAGGTAATTTGTGTACAAAACAAATAGATTCTTAAAATTTCATGGTGACACTTCATAGCAATGTAAAATTTTTTTAAGTAATGACATTGTTAGTACCCAATAAATATTAGCACTTTTTAAATTATTTTTATTTTTTATTTTTTGGTGAGGAAGATCTGCCCTGAGCTACCATTTGTTGCCAATCTTCTTTTTGCTTGAGGAGGAGTTGCCCTGAGCTAACATCTGTGCCAATCTTCCTCTATTTTGTATGTGGGTCACTGCCACAGCATGGCCACCGACAAGCGGTGTAGGTAGGCACCCGGGAATTGAACCCAGGCTGTCAAAGTGGAGTACAACAAACTTAACTACTAGACCACAGGGCCAGCTCCTAAAATTATTATTTTAACATTGTTAAGAAAAAAAACATGAGTTTCTGTATTTGTAAGTAAATGCATCTTTTAAAAAAATACTCAAAGAATACATATCAATCTGTTAGGCCAAATTATTTCTAGGGAGGGAAATGAGGGAGAAAACAAAGGGACACTTTAATTGCTACACTTTCTGAGGTTTCCATTTTTTTGCAATAACCATGTCATGTAAATATATTTTTAAAGTGGTAAAAAGCAATGAAAATATTCAAATGAAATTCTCTCAGAAAAGAGTAATACCATGTTGTAGTCTGCTAGTTGTCCTTGGAACTCTTTGATTTCAACAGCTAAAGTCTCAGCTCTGCAAACAAAAAATAAATCCATAAATCAGCAGATGAACATTAATGAACATTATGTATAACTATAAACCTACTATAGAACTCCAGAAACATTACATTAAATGTTACTCATAATAAAAAGATTTATTTTTACTGCAAAATTACTCACCTCTTTTCATATGACAAATATACTGAATTCTCTTGATTGTACATTTCTATTTCTTTCTGAAGTTTATTAATTTCTGTTGTAAGTTCACTTATTTTACTTCTAAATGAAAAGAAATAAGAAAGTCACCAATACTTCTAATTCAGAAAAGAGTCTTTCTCAAAGAAAACAGACTTTTCATAAATGTGCAACAATAATAGAAATAGTTTTGTAAAGTTGCGCTAAAAAAAGAAAGACAATTTTCATGGCTTATTTGATTAGGAATGAGGTATATCCCAAATGATAAGAAATTGACATAGATTCTCTAATCATTGAGAAAGATGAAATAGGACTAGAATGGAAACCTGATCAAACGGGTACAATCTAAAGTCAGAAGCAGATGCCTAACTGTTACCCTCAGAACTCCTGCTCCCCTCTAGAATGGGGTTTCTCCAAGAGCGGTACTACTGACATTTTAGGTCATTAAACAATGCTTTGGTGGGAGATGGTTTCTTGTGCACTGTAGGATGTTTACCACTATCCCTGGTCTGGATGCCATTAGTACATCCCCCAACACCAGCTGTGACAACCAAAAATGTTTCTAAGAATTGCCAAATGTTCCCTGGGGGGCAAAATCACTGCCAGTTGAGAACTACTGCTCTAGAGTCAAATAATTACACAAATAGCTATAACTATTTTCTCATGCAGAAGCACAAATCCTCGAGATGAGAGGCAATGCAATGATGAGAAATAGCTCTACTTCCTTTCCTTCTTTTGATAAAAAGTGGCTGGATATCAAGAGATGCTATACAACTGAAGGCCTCACTGTTAATTTTACTGATGCTAGCTTTGAGGGCAGATGGGCAAAACCTACACTTCTCTCTTTTTTTTTTTTAACATTGGCACCTCAGCTAACATGGTTGCCAATCTTCTTTTCCTTCTTCTTCTTCTCCCCAAAGCCCCCCAGTACATAGTTGTATATTCTAGCTGTGAGTGCCTCTGGTTGTGGCACGTGGGATGCTGCCTCAGCATGGCCTGATGAGCAGTGCCATGTCCGTGCCCAGGATCCAAACTGGTGAAACCCTGGGCTGCTGAAGCGGAGTGTGCGAACTTAAGCACTCAGCCGCCGGGCTGGCCCCCTACATTTCTCTTTATTGCCATCCAGGAGCTGGAGAATCAAAGAGATCCAGGTAACCGAGAAACAAAAGAGCCAAGGACTAAGAAAGAAAATAGAGTTTTTAGGGCTTGATGGAAGGATGGAACAGAAGTAAGAGAGGAAAAAGATATAGATGACAGGCCAAGAAGAAAATAAAATAATACGGGAAAACGGAGACAGGAATGTAGGACATCTGAGAAGAGAAAAAGGTAGGTAGAGAAGGAGAAACAAGTTCCTAATTTAGAGCTACACCCTTAGAGACATACAACAAAGCTTATGAATTAATTAAAATTAGGCCATATGTGTAGGAACTGACTAAATACTCACATAAAGCTGTGCACTAATTAATACATCATAAGTTAGTATAAACATTTTCCCTTTCTTATTAGATGTAACTGGTAACATTTCAACATTATGAATAATATACTTCAGCATAATTAGTGAAGGAAGCATAAAAGATTATTCTTATCATTAGATGAAAAATAGTGAACTTGAAATACATAGCTCACATTCATGCAAATACATAAAATTTAGAATCTCAGCCTAACTGTATGATCACCTCTATTTTGTAGTACAGCCAAATTAACCAGCAATTATGTTAGAACATAAAATAATTCTTAGACATCAACAGATACTTAATCATCTTAATAAGTACCACAGTTAAAACTTCATGGTCATGCGTAGAAAAAAAAATTTCTTTATTTAACCTACCGAAGAAGCCCAAGATAGTAAGATTTGTCTAATATTTGCCTCTGGGGACCTAAAAAAAAATTTTTAATGTATTAGTGTTCAGTTTGGAAATGCCACCAAAATAGCAAATCCAAAGCTCAACCAGAATTACACTCTACAATTCTCTGATAGTCCTCACGAACGCCCCAATAAATCTAATAATCAAGAAGAATCCTTGAACTGGAAAAGGGAATTAATCTTAGCATCATGACATAAAGGAAACTTGATTTAAGACCACAAAGATGAGATTAGAGGTGTGGCTGTTAAGACAGAGACTCTACAGGTCAGGTTCACTGAATGGAAACTGGGTCTAAGTGAATCTAGAACAGGGCTAATCTAAGAGAACTTTCTGCAAAAATGGAAATATTCTGTATCAGCATGGTCCAATAAAGTAGGATTACTTTGGATAATGTGGGATTACTGAGCACTTGAAATGTAGCCAGTGCTACTGGGGAACAGACTCTTTATTTTACTTTATTTTAATAAATTTAAATTTATTTAGCTACATGTAGCTATTGGGTATCCTAACAGACAGTGCAGATTTAGACTGTGAATTTCTCAATGCAAGCAAGAGATTATGATTTGCCATAATTTGTCTTGGAGACTTTTTTAGAAACATGATCTTACATTTCAGTAGGACTAAGAAAGTATTCTTAGTTTAAACATCCCAAACCTTGAGAGAGATGAAATGCCTGGAAGGTGTGAGAGGGAAGGGTAGGAGTATCGACTGGGAGGTCTGTGCTAGAAGAGGGAGAGAATGTCTTACTAGAACGGGAAATGGAGCACCAGAGCACGTAAGAACAAAGGTCACAGCAGGGCACGGTGCACAGTGGCAACTATCAGAATTAAGAACTAAGACCTTGAAGTATACTGGGAGAAATGATATTCTTTCTGTTTTGAAGGAGAAATTAATACAGCATAAATATCTGATGAATTCTCTATATAATATGAGTATGTTTCTGTGCTTAATATTTTTTATTAAGTAATATTAAACATATAATCATTTCTGTGAAAATATATATATACATTTGTGTGTGTGTGTGTGTGAGGAAGATTGGCCCTGAGCTAACATCTGTTGCCAATCTTCCTCCTTTTGCTTGCCCCAACCCTAACTCTTTCTTTTAGAGACTGTACATTTATTTATTATGTCCATAGCCATTAAATTGACTTTCGATGAGTCAAGTTCTCCCTTTCACTTTTTCTTCTTGCCTTTAGGGGTTTCAAGGAGTTTCCCTTCAGCTAGAGCCAACTGTTTCTTCAGGAAGATTGCTTGAGGAAGACTGTCCCTGAGCTAACATCTGGCTTAGTCTTCCTCTATTTTGTATGTGGGACACCACCACAGCATGGCTTGATGAGCAGTGTGTAGGTCTGCGCCCGGGATCTGAATCTGCAAATCCTGGGCTGCCAAAGCAGAGCATGAAAACTTAACCTTTGCGCCACCAGGCTGGCCCCTCTGTGAATATTTTTAAAGAGTAAACAACTATATAATTTTGACTCTTTTTTTCACAGTATTGATAATTATTAAGCAAGCATTTCTAAATAATCAATTGGTTTTTAATATTTAGTGAGCTAAGTGGTATTATAATACAGGTAAGAAAATTTAAGTCTCCTGAAAGGCATGACATACTAAATTCTAAGAGGTAGTATGCTCTCTTACAATTAACCTTGTATCAGTAGAATATCTTCATCCCTGATAAGTCATTTGTCACAAATACAGAAAAAAAATCATTATAAAACAGTTCACCATTCTTTGATTTATATACATGAGACCAATTTTGTGAATCATAATATACAGTATATTGTTATGCCTTTCTAAATACATACAGAGAGGCATAATGAGAGATGTAGTATAAACCTACATGCTAGCCTCATTTCCTTACTTAAGCATTACAATGGAATATTAATTATTAGGAAAGGTAACACTTCTTGACTCACTTCTCATAAATACGCAAATATCATAATAGTGTCATTTTGATAAAGAAATAATCAAAAAGTATTTCAGAATATTTCTATATAGTACTAGAAATCTAGTTTTCATTCCTGAGCTTTTCTTTAAATTATTTCAAATTTCTTCAAGTTAGAGCAACACTCCATGTTCAGAAAAACAAAGTTCAAAATAGCTCATACATGTATATAATCCTCTAGTTCACAACGTATTTTCACATTCATTCTCTTATTTAAGGCTCACAATAATTTTGTGAATCAAGGAATAAGAATTGAGTAAAACAGTCTCTTTCACTCTATAATTCTGATTTGGTAATATGGTACTATAACATTTCTTATACAAAATATACTCATCTTCTTAAAATAGATACCTTTCATCCCAGTTTTCATTCCACTCAAACCTTGCTGTGTTACAGGACGATCAGCAACTTTGATTTGAGAAGACAGAACTCCTCCTGTTCCTATGGGACCACTCCGAGAGCCTGGTCTTGCTGTTCCAGGTGGCATCTAAATAACAAACAAGACCACGGTTTCAGTAAAGTAGAAAAACACTGTACCTTTACTATTGTTAAGACTGCAAAGAGAATATTAAAAAAAATTAAAATTCTATATAATTTGTAAAATATTCCTTATATTTTTGAATGTCTGAAATATGAAATATTATTAAATAAAATTCTTTAACATTTAAAATTCTAAGAATATTAAATAATACATTTCTTTAAAACTTAAAATTTTATGTGTAGCCATTATTTATAATACCCTGAAACTGGAAAGGAGGTAAATGTCCACATATTTGTCCTTAGCTAACTATAGAAAATAGTTTTAAATAAATTGTAGTATATAAAAAAAATTTACAAAACAGTATGTATAATTCCATTTTTATAAAACAAAAAGTCTGGAGGATTATATAAAAAAAATTAGTAACAACAGTTATCTTTATATAATGATATTATAGTTCATTTTTATTTTGTCTTTTATATAATTTGGTGTTTTCAGCATTATTAGACTAAGTATATATTACCTTTAAAATTAGAAAAAAAAACAATTTTCATTTTGAAATAAAATTAGATATAATTCCATCACAAGACAGCCATGTAGGTTTTAAAGGGCTTATATCATTCAGCAAGTATTCATATTATTCGTCTACATGATTCTCTACTTCAGGTCTGCAAAATCCAATATAACATTATAGGCCCTGAGGAAAGGACAAAAGACTCCTGTCTTGTCAGTTCATATATGCGGTATGTACAGGCATGGGAAGGTATAAAAGACAAGCTGAAATTGTTCCAAGAGATCCTTCTTTTGTTTATCTTCCTTTCCTTCTTTTCTTCCCCCCCCCCCCCCCCCCCGCCAAAGAGTAAAGTAGTAGATTAAATATGTAGCAGAAATTTTAGATAGGGGTTGGATACAACCACTGTCATGCATTTGGATTGTTTTTCATTCTGCTAGCTGGGAGACTCTGATCCTATCAGCTAACATAGTTCTTAAGTGACTCTGAGATTACTTGGTAATTATTTGGAATATGGGGGCCAGCAACAGTAGCACGTTCCAGAGAATACGTTGGACACAGAACACTGTCAACTATAAATTCAAATGAAATGAGTCCAGGCTTATGCCGAGTGATCTTGGGGAGAGAATTTTAAATCTCTCTCTGGGTAAACCTTCTGAATAATTTCCTCTTTGACTTTATGCAAGCTTAATTATGACAGCCACTCAAATAACTATGCTAATTTTTTTTAATTTACCAGATGAAAATATAAATTAAAACTCCACACATTAAAAAGAATGAAGTAGATATGTATTCACATGTAAATATATTTATAATATATTATTGAAAGCAAAGGACAAGGTAAATAAGAATGTATATAGTACTATCCTCATTTTGTAAAATACTAAAACCATACAATAATACATGCACATGTGTTAATGTTCATAAATGGATAGAGAAAAGGCTGGAAGGATACATGTCACATGTTGAGAATGGTTATAACTGGGGTAGAAGGAGGGACTCTGACACTTCTCCTTCGTTTGTATGTTTACGATGAACGTTACTACTTTAAAAACTGCAAATATTAAATAGGTGAAGCACCCAGCAAATAGCAGGTGGCCAAAAAATGTCAGATTCCTTTTACAAATATTTAATTAACAAGCATAAATTCTTACTAGAATAATAGAAGATACCCTAGTTCAGTACTATATATATAAAAACTTTAGAAAAATCATATCAGTATAAGTTGATGATGATGTTGATGATTTCACCCAAAACTCTAGAAAAATCTGAAAACTTTAAACCCTGACTTTACCAAAACTATTCCCTCCCAAAATTGCTGCTCTTCTTATGAATTAAACACAGGACTCAGCATTCTCTCTAGTTTGCAGTTAGCCTACTGTCCGAGCTTAAGTACCTCAAATATACCTTACAAGGTCATCAACACCATCTGTTGTGAGCATCTGAGAAATTACTATAAATATTTTGGTGTATTCATTTCTATGTGCATATAAACGTACATTTTTATGTTAAATTGACACCATACTGCTTCTTTCACTTAATACTGTACTGTAAAAATATAAAATTATTTCCCCAAATATTCTCTGAAAATAAGTTTTACTGCTTACCCAATAGCCAATTATACGGATAGATATACAATTTAGGATTCACCTGTTATAAGGTCATTTAGGTTTTCAAATTTTCACTATTATAATTACAATGAAAATGTAATAATTATCTCTATAGGATATTATTCAGCTCAAAATTATCAGTTTATAAAGTTTATCCAATATTTTCTAATATGGTGTGTTTCTCTTATCGAGTCACTGATTTATGACACTATCTTACATTAAGCTCTTAACATTTACTTGAATTTGTTTGTAGGCTGCTCTGGCAACCAGGAGATTGTTTTTCTTATCATTTACGATATATTTTATATGAGAGTATTATACTTTTCATTGTTGTTTTATTGTTCTACGTGAATTTTAAAATAGTTTTATAATGATATTCTCCCCACTTCTCCAAAAACAAATCCCATGGAATTTTAATTGGACATAGGATTTATAGCCTTAATATAGAAAGAACTCTTACAAATTAGGAAAGTTTGCTTTTTCATTTTAAGATTCTAAACTCTATATATGACATAGATGTTTCCAATATTTTTTACCAGTTTCTCATTTTTCTTTTAATTTTTTTAATGGTGTTTTCAATTTTTGTAAATTCAAATATATAAATATAAAAATACTTTCCTTTTCAGTATTTGGTATTTCTGTCATTTTTACAAAGGCCTAGCCCACACAAAGTTTATACGAAATACTTGCCTATATTTTCTTCTAGTATATCTATGGTTTCTTTTTTATTTTATTTTATTTTTTTTTGGTGAGGAAGATTGGCCCTGAGCTAACACTTGTTGCCAATCTTCCTCTTTTTGCTTGAGGAAGAGTGGCCCTAAGCTAACATCTGTGCCCATCTTCCCATATTTTGTACGTCTGACACTGCCACAGCATGGCCGACGACAAGTTGTGTAGGTCTGTACCTGGGATCTGAACCTGCAAACTGGGGTGGCTGAAGCAGAGTGTGCCAAACTTAACCAGTATGCCTCCAGGCCAACCCCCTGTGGTTTCATTTTTTAAATTTAAAGTTTCTAAAATATCTAGAATTCTGTGTGAGAGAGGGATTAACTATTTTTTTAAAACAAACGGTTTACCAGTTCTTTGAATGCACTATTGAATACTCTATGCTTTTCCAACTAATTTGAAATGCCACCTTAATCATGAATTAAAATCTTACACATGTCTGATTCTGTTTCTGGTCTACTCCATTTCAACTGATTCTGACACCAATACACTATTCCACTTAAATTACTGTAGCATTAAAATAAATTTGAATATCAGCATGAGCAGACATCTTCTCTCAATAGTGTCTTTCAGACATTCTCCCACAGTTACACTTTTAAATATTTTCCAAAAAACAAACATATAATAATATGCTTATAGAATAAAGAAAGAATAAAGAATCATCTCTTGTGATAGACAGGCTTTCCAACTTCTACCAATACATATGCACAAGAATTCAACAGATTTACTTTAAACTTACTCCAGTCGCCACTCGAATATTTCCTGATGGGGGTCGTACTCCAGAAGGAGGCCTTCCTGTCAACCCAATTCCACCTCGTGACACAGGGCGAGCTGCTGAAGGTTTGTGATTACTGGCCATTGTTTACTTTAACCACTGTTTGGAAACAAAGAATAGTTCAATTCTCCTTTGCTGTCTTCTATAGCAAGACACCAGCGACCCACATACCCTTCCTTCAAACATTTAACCCATGTTGACTTTTCTTGCAAATTGCCATTTCAGCTACCGCTACAAAGCTAAGCCTGCTTTAATTTTGTTCAAACTTGATATTAGTCTTCCGTTTAGAACCATGAAATCATTAATTACAACATGCTTTCCTCATTTCCCTTACCAAAATGCAAGCCCCGCTGGTTACCTCTCTCCTGTGCTTTCATGCATACTCTAGTAAGTTTTCTCTCCTGACATATCCTCCGTCTTTCTTCTCTCCCTCTCTTTTCTCTGTGCTTTCTGGTCCATGATTAACTCCCTTATATTCTCAGACCTGTTATCAAATACTTCCTTTCACTCTTCACCTTAACGGAATCCAGGCTTTCCTAGAAAACACTTTCGGCAGTGAAGACTGCTGTTTTAGGTTGCCATTCCACAATTCCAAAACAAAGGAGTAGGAGGCACTCTCCTTGCTCCCCAGTGTCACTTTGAAAACATTATTCTTCCAAGTCCTTACAAAAACAAACAGGATTCTCTTCCTTTGAGGACCAGGGAATGCAATCAATGGCGCTGGACCTTTCCTGGTTGCTTTAATCTAGGAACCTCCTAATCTACCCCCCAACCTTTCCTGAAGTCTTTTGCACCCAGTTCACAATCTATTCCAGTCCCACCAACATCCTGGATGATTTCCGTATGGACACTGGATTCACTGTCTAACATACTAGCTTCACAGTTCCCTGACCTAATTTCAGTAACCATCTCAACATCACTTCAGTCATTCATAGCCGTGGCCAGACCTGGAGCTTGTCATCATCTGGAATTGCTTCATCTCAAATGCCTTAATTGAAATACTTCATTCTCTGCCCTTAATCTCCTCTCCTTCTGCCCTTATCTCATCTTTATTCTCACTATACTTCCCTTTAAAACCATCTTCTTAATTCATTCATTCTCTTCCAGTTTATCAGCCCCCTCCTTTACTCCAAAGAATACATTATTTAAAGTTTGGGCTCATAATTTAGAATTTTATTTTTAATTATGGGTCATGACCTATTAGTGGGTTGTGAAAACAACTTGGTAGGTTATGACCAATATACTTTAGACATAAAATAAAACAGAAATTATGAGAGTTCACTGTACATAGGAAGAGTGTTGCTTCATTAAATTTTTGTTTCAGTTACATTTATAAAAATTTAAATAGATATGTATACTGGCTTATAACGTAAAATGTATGTCCTATTATAGTTCATGTTCAAAAGAGTTTTAAAGATACTGATCCAGAGAGAATAAAGAGAAAAAGAGTGCCCAAGACTCTGGCCTAAGGAATGTCAATAAACGCAGGTCACACAGAAGAGGAGAAACTAGTATAAGAGATTGAAAATGAAGCCTCAGAAAGCAAACAGAAAAACCAGGAGCGCATGTCAGGAATGCCAAGAGAAGGCAGGAATGGTGAGCCACGCCACTCACTGTGGGAATTCAAGTAAGATGAACACGGAAATATCCACTGGATCCCCATGTAAGAAGCCACTAATGGCCTTGGGGAGGGCAGTTTCAAGGACTCCTTTTCTTCTCTACACCAAACTACGGTCTCATGAGCACCATCAACTAATTTGTATCCTGGAACTCTTCTTCAACCCATCCGGCACCATCAGAAACCCTTCTCTACATCCAACCTGGACTGCTGAGCATGGCTGGTGGAAATCACACATCTGTACAGACTGGAGTACTGTAAAGTAATAGTCACCAAACTTAGCTGGACCTTCACCTCAGAAATTGTTTTATTTATCTTTGACAAGCTACTTCTCTCCTTGATGATTCCAATGCTTAACCACTTTTCTACCTGACGTCTGTTCTTGCCACTCTTAGTAGATGACTTAATTTTCTCCTAATTTGAGAAAATTATGACTTAAAATCTATCATGTTTGGAGCACACAAACTTACCTATATCCACCCTGCTCTCCAATCTCAATAGCTATCCTTTCTCTCATTCAAGATCAATCTCTATTCTGATTTACCTTCTTGATCCCATCTCCTCTGGGACATTAGCCTTCCTCCTCTTGTCCCCACCCCCATCTCCCTTGGGGCATTCTCCCACTCCTGCCTATATCTTTAAACTTTCTCTTTTCTTTCAGTCCCCTTATCATGTTCAATTCTTTCCTGACCTTAAAAACTACTATCTTGATCCTGAAACCACTTTTAACTCTGTCCCATATATCCTTTTCCGACGCAGCTAAACTCTAAAGAATAGCTTATATCCACTTTTCTCTACTTTTTCAATTTCTACTATTTTCTGGATTCCTACTACTCCACTCAAACGGTCCCTGCCAATGTAGCTAGGGATGTAAATGCCACCTCTCTGTTACTGGTGTCCACTCCTACACGAAATCATCTCCATGATACTCCCCTCTGCTGGTTCTCCCTTTTCAGTCACCTCCATCGATTCTACCTGCTCTTATTAGCAGAATTCCTCAAAAGACCATCCACGCTCTATTTTTCTTTTTTCTCTTTAAGCTCTCCTTGGGTCACCTCAGCTACACTTACAGTTTTAACAATTAATAAACAGATGATTCACAACTTCATATGTCCAGCCCTGACCCCTCACACTCAATCTGAGGTATTTATATCTAAATAATTACTTGACATTTCCACTTGGATGTCCCACAGATATTTCAAAATAAACACATGCAAATGTAAACTCATTGTCACCACCCCCCACCATGTGCTCTTCTTCTTGGTACAACCTCCTAGTCATATAAGTCAGAAACTTAGTCCTTGATTTCTCCCTCTCCTTCTTTTCTCATAGCTAATCACAGAGTCCTACTGATTTTATTTCTAAATCTTTAACATGTACATTCCTCTCTATTCCTGTAATACTGATCAGGGCCTCACGGACTCAAGTGTATTGGAATCTTGGCCTCCTAACTTGTCCCCTAGCCTAACTACACATCTTGCCTGTTATGTTCCCTAAGAATCCTTACATGACCAATTCATAACCACCTCTACTTTCTTCAATTTGAGTCCACAGGCCTGTCCTATACGCTACTATGCATCCTGAGCGTATGTCTATCCCAGTGCCTCTCACACCGATTGAAATGATCTGTTTAAGTATTACTCTCCCTTGAGGGCAAGAGCTGGAGCTTATACATCTTCATATCCCCAGTATCTATCTCAGTGCCAGGTAAAAACTTTCTGTTCTCTTTTATACTTTCTGAATTTCCTCCCACATGAAGGCATTGCAGATTACAAAATTTACTAAATTGTTAAAAACGAAACAAATCATTTCTTTAAACTAAAATGGCTTCTCAGTTGTTAGACTCTGTGTCTAGTACTTCTCTGGTTTTCCTTGGCATCACTCATGATCAGTCTTAGATTGCCTGTCTTCTTTCTACATTCTTTCATCCTCTTCTTACAACTCCAACTATGTTGATGACACATAAATCAATGTCTCCAGTTCTGTCCTTTAAATTGGGCACCAATTCTGGATTTTCAACTGTTCATTAGAAATTTCTATTCGGATATCCCATTATCACTTTATTCTGAATGTGTTCACACCACATTTACAATCTTCCCATTCCAACTAGCTCCGTGATTCTATTCCCTTGCCATTCTGAACTCTGCAGACAAAGTAACAGAATTATCACTATTATTATTTCAAGGGGAGTTTCAAGAAACGACTTTTTGAATGGCAGACGAGGTCTATGATCAAAATGGTACTCTAGCTTTCTTGATAACTTTAAGAAAATGTACAATATATAGAATTTCCCATCCGACGTTCTTTGCCACTGCTTTACTGTTGTGGAAAAAGCTTAGCATTAAGTCAGTCCCAGCGGGCAAAAAACCCAGGAAAGGCACTAGTAACAAACATGCCACTAACTCCGGGGTTATTCACTCAAATATTCACACAATCTCCGCGGTTATTCACACAATCGGAGAGAAAGGCTTGCCTTTGGTTCCAGAAAAATCAGGGGTTCAAACTTTAACTCTGACGGTACTAGCCGTATAATCATCCCCTCGGGATGTGTTTCCTCAACCTTAAAACACAAGCGTGTCAACGAGGTCTACCTTGCAGAGCTGTTGTGAAGATTACAGATACTATCTATAGAATAACCTGCCTCCTAGTTATTATAACTATCATTATCCTCCCATTTTAACATATATGAAGGAGAGGAAAGTTGCCAAGTCCCGTGCGATGACCAACAGACAGAAACCTATTATTCCTTTGAGGAAAACTCCTCAGGCCATGGTGAATTTTCTCTGGGAGGCTCGTGGCTTCTTCTGGTCTGGCCCTGGCAGGGCTCCTCAGGGGAGTCTTTGAGGAGGTCTCTGCGCACCCTCCGCCCGACTACAGCTGGGAGTTCCCTGGGCCCGGGGAGAAGAGCTAAGAGCGGCGGAGCTCGGATTTGTTTTGTTTGGAGCGGAGCAGCATCTCCAGGGGACGATAAGGCTCAGGAAGGAAGGTGGGAGAGACGGAATACGGGATTTCTCACCTCCGCCGCCGCAGAAGGGAGATCGCTCCGCTCAGGGGCGCTCGAACTTCCTTCCGAGGTCACCTCCAGCGGGGCGCCCACCCGTAGCGCCCGCTCACCCACGCGCAGCTTGTCTGGGCCCTCAAGCCTAACCCCTAGTGGCCGCGCGCCGCCGCGTATCCGGGCAACGGGGGCGGGGCGGGGCGAGGCACTGATTGGCCAATCCTCGGCCTCAGCTCCTGGTACCTACAAGCGAAGCGAGAGTGAATCGCTCTCGCGAGACTTGAGAACTAAGTTCTGTTTTCTCAATACCTCAACGCTTTGCTGGAAGAAGTGGAAAACGGAGAGTTGGCTAGAAGAGAACATTTTATTTGAAAACCTTGGTTTTCTTTATATTCAAAGCAACTTTTCTGATTGTGTGCTTGACCTGAACTCACTCCTAGCGAGTTTTATTATATCGCTATGTAACCTCCCGTCTGCTACCGTGTAATACGTTAGATTTTTTTAATAGGAATTGTTTGACATTATTCTCTGGCAGACAGCATTGTACAGTCTTTTTATTTCTAATTGCTGGTAGTTTTCCTTCCTGTTAGGACTCACAACGTACGCAATACAACATTTAAGTATGGATGCGATTCTGGTACCATCTGTTTCTCTTCATTTCATTGGAAGCTTCATATCTTTACGCTCCCTGTCAGCGTTCTTTTGATCAAGCTTGTGGAGAAGGCTGAATTAAATGGAAAGTGGTCCTAAAAGAATTATTTTAAAATCAGTGTTTTAAAAAAAAGTCACATGAGAAATACTTCATCTCAAATCTTACCTCTCTCATAAAGTAACGAAGTTTTTCTTCCAGTCTTCTTATAGACAGAGCTTAAATGTGATTGCAGCTACAATTATAACATACATACATGTTGCACTTTTAACATTTTTCACATTATTTCCAACTTGCATACGTAATTTATATCCAGATTTATTTTCTTATATGCCTGCCTTCAAGAAGTTTAAAATCAATGCAATGCACAATCAAATAATATGAGCTGAGTTTTCACTTAAAGTTTGTAAAACATTTTCATATAATTATCCCATTTGAGCCCAACATATTTGTAGTGGTCATTTGTTATCCTTTTGGTCACTGTAGTGAAAGGGAGTATAATTTGCCACTCTAAAATATGCCACTTTAATATAAGTATTATTTTGAGCTTAAGGCAATTGAAAAGAACCGGATGCAAGAAAAGCTCTCTACCATTCCCCTATTTGCCTAAAAGGAAGGCATAAATTTTCAAAGGTGTCCCTCCTTGCCTCTCTACTAGGAAGGACAAAAGTTAATCATCGGAGGCAACGTCAGACCCTTTATCAGCCTGGAGACTGCACCAGAGGAATCTAAATAACACTTCACTAACTAGCCTTTGTCTACCATTAGTTTCCCGTATATTTGCCTTCTCATAATTCGCTGCCTCTAAAGACTTAAGGTCCTTTTCTTTTCTTTCTTCTGTAAAAATCTATTGTTCGTTTGTTAAGAAATGCTATATAAGCCCAAGCTTTAGCCAGCTCTTCGAGTTAGTCATCTGTGTTTCTTCCTTGTATCATATGATATACATATTAATAAACTTATGTTTCTTTTTCTCTTGTTAATCTGTCTTTTGTTACAGAACACCAGCAGGAAGTCTAGACGGGTAGAAAGAAAAAAGCTATTTCCTCCCGTGCAACCTCTAACTGCCCAACTCTTCCATATATTATCTCAGAGAGAAGCTACTGACATTACGATTTCTCCCTCAGTGCCTTCAGACGTTCGCGAAGGGGATCCAGGATTTGTCATCTGTATACAGATGTGAGAGCTGAGAGAAACTATTTCTTTTAAATCTTTGAATTGCTTAACACATAATTTTTTTTAAATACCAAGAACCCAGTTTCGTGTTCACAGAATTTAAGGCAAGCGACTGTTTCCAATTTGGCCGCAGCCTGTCTCTTTTTAATTAAAAAACAACGTTCAGTTTGTAAAAATCTCAGGAGACTGTGCAGAGAAGGTTTGGGGAAATCGCAGTAAGGTTGTCCTAACAGAACGCTCGAAACAATCTCATTCAATCGCAAGGCAACGCACAGCCCCGCGGACCAAAATTTAAAATGCCCGGATTCGGCGCGCCTGCGACTCACGCCCCGTTGGCGCGTGGCATTGTGGGATTTGTAGTCCAGCCCGTATTCCGTATTACAATAGACTGTTCAGCCGGGGGCTCGGACAAGGCGTTGGCTGGGAAAGGACCCGGATTTGCACGCCGGAGCGGAAGGGCCGGGCGCGGTTACCTCTTCTTCGGCCGGCGGTGTAGGGTGCAGGCGGGAAGCGAGCCTGAGCTTGGTGTCGGCCTCGGCAGTCGGGACGCACACGGTCTGCGTCATGGCGGGCTGGGGCCGATGATGAATTCCGGTGTGCATGTCAGGGTTGCTGTGTCACTCGGCCCGCTCGGCGCGCCCCTTCCCCGCCGCCCTTCCGCACCGGCTTTCGGGCTCTTCCGGTCTCCGGCCGCCCCACACCGGTAGGGTCCTCTCCCGCCGCGGCCCGGGGCACGCCCGACCTCCCCTGCGGACTGACCTCGCGCGGTGCCTGGCCCCGGGCGCCCGACCTACGAGGGCCATGGCGGGCGGCGCCGCCAGGTACCGGCTGAGCTGCTCGCTCCCGGGCCACGAGCTGGACGTGAGGGGCCTGGTGTGCTGCCTCTATCCGCCCGGGGCCTTTGTGTCCGTGTCCCGAGACCGCACCACCCGCCTCTGGGTCCCGGACAGGTGAGCGCGGCGAGTCTGGCTGCCCCCGGCTGTGTTGCAAGCTTCCTACCGCGAGTGGGGGGAGAGGTACCCTGCCCTGCTCTCCCTCCCCGGCCTTCCCTCTGGTCTGCGCTCCTTCCCAGTTCTCAGAGCTCTGGCACTCTGGGCGCGCATTGTAAGAAGCCAGTGAGATTAGTGGAAAGAGCACGGATTGGGGGAACCGACACCTACTTTCTTGTCCTGACTTGACCACTAACGAGCGGGTAACCTTGGGCGAACCTCTCACCTTTGGGGGCTTCAGTTTTTGGACGATGATTTGCCATGTTTGTTTCAGATTTGAAATTTTACTGATACCAGGTGCACCGTCCTAAGTGAGGCAGTGTGAAAGCATCTGGCGTGTAATTGAAACAAGTCCTCTTTTTTCCGCTAGAATTTGCTCCCTAGTCTTCCTTCGTATTTAGTTTTTGAGAAGCGTAGTCCTTAAGAATTGCATTGCAAAATGTTGCATTGGCTCCTTTCCTCGTTGCCCAAGTCAGAGTTTCTTAGTCTGCCGTCTGTGATGGGCTTAGGCGGACGAGGTGAGACCCCTTAACTGTTTGTGGCTGTGTAGGGATGTGCTGTTTTCTTGAGGAGAGAAAGCCCATTGCTTTCAAAAGATTGTCAGGGAGGTTAACCAAAACAGGATTAAGAAACAGAAGGTTAGGCTCCAGTCCAAGTTCAAGGGTTCAGCCCTGATTTGGCTGGTGTAATACCATCTGGAGGACAGATCTCAGTTCAGAAAGAGAAAAACTGAGGTGAGTTACTTTGTTATGTAGTAAGCCTCCCGTCAGTAGAGGTGTCACTCAGAGTTTGGGTGACCATAAATTCAGATGACAGCTATTTATTGAGTGTCTCCTCTTTGTTTGGGATCCTGAAGAAGAAGACGACAGACCAGTCCCCTGTGTTTATAGAGCTTTCTTACAGTCTAGGAGGGAAGATGGATCAAAAAACAGTGAAATAAATACTCATTGGCATCTGCACTATGAAGAGAACAAATGTAGATAGAGAATTGAGTGGAGAGAGATGTTAGAGAAGGAAGTCCATCTGAGGAGAGTTTTTGGTTTTTTTAAGCTGACACTGAGAATGGAGCTGGTCGAGGGAGCGAGGAATGAGGAGGGTTGAATTGGGAGAGCATTGTAGGCAGCAGGGGGAGCAAGCACAGAGGCCCTGGACTGAGAAAGAGGACAGTCTGAGTGCAGAGGGAATCAGCTGTGAGGGGAGGGCTGGTCTTAGGGGCTGGCAGGAGCCAGAGCATGCCGTGGTAAGGGCTGAGGAAAGGAGTTAGTAGGTAGAAGCCTTCCAAGAGTTTCAAGCAGGGAGCACAATGGTTTGATTTACCTGTTGACAAGTTTCTGCGAGCTGCTGGTGGGGAATGGATTGCAGAGGATACATGCGGGAGTAGATCTGTGTGGAGGCTTTTGCAGTAGTGCTGCCAAGACATGATGATGGACTGCACAGGGGTGTTGAACAGCTCACTCCTGTATTGAATCGCGTGAGAAGACCTCTGCAGGTCTCTTCTAACTCGAAGATTCTATGATATTCCAAACCTCTTAGTAACATGAATACGGAACTTTTTTGTGTATTTGAGTACAATTACTGATTATGCTTGTAGGTTTAAAACTGAATGCGGGAGAAACGTATGCCCGGTAGGATATAAACATTGAAGTACGGAGTAGCTAAAGGATGCCTGTCGTAATAGTTGAATCCTGTCATTAACTTTGTACAGCTGTGTTAGGTTAACAAGAACTTAAATCACTGGAGTGCTTGCATTTACCAGGAACTTGAGCAACTTTGGGCTGAAATGATCCTGTTTGAAAACTGGTTCTTTTCATTTAACTCCTGTGATTTTTTGCTTCTGTTTTTCAAAATTCATTTATGTATTTATTCAACTAATACTGATTGAGAGCCTGCATTGTGCCAGGCACAGGGCTAGATAGTGGGTGATTAGTGAAATAAGCTTGCCTTACCTCTCATTTCCAATCCTCAGGTTAGAGCATCTCATAGTTAGTGGGTGATGAACCTCTTATTCATCCCAAATAGTGTCTCAACCATACCTTTAGTGTTATAAACAGCGTCTTTAAGGCTGACATCCTGACAATTTATATTTCATGGTACATTAATAAAGTTAATGAAGTGCTGTAAAATGTTTGGAGCCAGGTAGTAAATGAAAATTGTTTTCCCGTGTGCATTGCTGCTAGGGTTCTGGATCAGGATGTGAAGTGTAGGGATGGACTGGGAGTGATGGGAGGAATTTAATTCAGTTTCACAGAGGCAAAATAGTTCTATTCCAGCATGGACTAAACCAGATATCTTGTCTGTCCCAAAAGCCCATTGAACACTCAGAAAGTCACTGGGCTTTCTGAAGGCCCTTCAGAACGGAGACAGTATTTTTTGGTTGTACATTGA